ACACACACACACACTGTGCTCTTATCTGGAGCCAGAAGGAAATGGATACCTAGTGCTGATGTGTAATGATGTCACAACCTTGTTAAGATGAATGGTACACATTAGAACCAAGCATAAACAAATCAGGAAGCGAGACGGGGGAGGAAAGTAGGGCACCCCAAGTAACTGAAAACAGAAAAAAAGGGATTGGAAGGGAAGGTATGAAAAGATGCAGAAAGAAAACCACAGCAAGAGGAGAAAATAAAACGCTCTTTCCCGCTCTCTGCTATTTTTTTTTTCATAGTCCGTTTCATTTGTTTCTAGTTTGATGTGAAATGTACCCCACGGCTTTCACTCAATAGTCTACCATAGTCAGCTAAATGATTTTAAAGCACTTCTGCAGGAAGTTAGCTTATTTATCATTATTATTATTAACTTTAAATATAAAAAGTATATTCAGTGATGAAAATAAGAATGCTAAAATAAATAGACCTCACGACATCAGTTCCTACCCCTGCATTATATGCCATATTTTAGCATTTACACTCTAACTGTACCTCATGCATTGTTTTCCTGATAAGACTAAGACAAGCATCAATCCATGCTAGCTCCAACATAACAGTAGCATTCATAGTTTCCTCCGTTCTTCCCATCCACATTTTCTTACCTTAATCGATGAGTGGGAATTGCACTCATAGTCATTGTCGGCCACTTCAAATCTATTTTTCCAGTATCTGGATTACTTAAGAACTTGATTTATCTCGCTCCAATGCTTACATCTCCAAAAAAGATAAGATAAGATGATAAAAAAAAAAATCCAGTTTTATCATAAAACTATTTTTTTGTCCAACACTAATCCATGTTCCATAACATACCGTCCGGTCCAATCTAAGCTGGTACAACCCAATCCAGATGGAGCCATGCTGCGGATCACACACGCAGCCTGTTCCAGGAAAATTTACTATGCAGAGAGGTCAATCTGCAAATGGTTTCAAATCTGCTGCAACGAGACCGTACCATTCAGAGAAACACGAGGAGGGGAGACAAAAGATAGATGCAACCACTGTTAAAATGGAGAGAGGGAAAGCAAGCACACATGGTTTTAGTCCAGACAGGGGGCTCAACCCCCCGAATGTACCTCCACACTCATGCTGGTTCGCTCAGTTCATCTAAACCTAAGGGGATTGACTGTGAACACACAAACACACACACACCTTCCGTCGTGTGTAACCTGAGCCCTACGAGCACCAATCAGGAGTATCCCTTAACTCATACAACACACACACAGTTCTACACATCTGATTCTCCAAGGAGGGACCATGAAAGGCGGGAAACCTCTCCACACACTTTTTACATTACCTCACTTTCTTCTCTTTCTTTGTTGTCCCCTCCAACCCCCAACCCAAAGTACAATGCTTCACATTATGACAGAAAGGGACATTTTTTAGTTTTTTTATTTAACTTTTCAACCTTCCTGCTGTATAGTTTGTCACTTTTCTTCCAACCCTTTTCTGTAAATATTCTGTGAGGAATGACAGTGAGTTATGTTTATCAGCACATATGTGACAAGCTTTAAGTCACTTCTGTCATTAACCACAATCATGCACATGCAAACAACACAACACATGTCAGCGACACCTACCTGGAGACATTGTCAGGTGAGCAAGCAGAGATGCTGGTTTCAATGGAGTCACTGCTATCCACACTCATTGTGTCAAAGGCCTGGTTGTCACGGTACCCGAAGGCATCGAGGTAGACGTTGGTCTGCGAGGCTGCTCGGGAGCTCGGCTGACCTGGATACACAAACAAACAAAAAAAGAGAACACAGGATTTAGAGGTAACTAATGTTGCTTATTCTTCTTATATGTGCCAAGAGTTGTACCTGTCTGTGTCCCTTCTTCTGGGACAGATTGCCCAGATGGCTTCAGTTTTTCATCACAATGCCCCGCCACTGTGACACGTGCACTTACACGTCCCAAGAAAAATATATCCACACCCTAATGGTACAATTACTTTAGATGAAACTGTGCCCGAATAGTAGGACACAAAAGCACAAAGCAATAAAATAAAAACTATCTGAAAAACAAGCACGTCTGGTACAATAAAGTCCTAAAAAGGGTTTAAGCAGTCCAAATATGTCTGAAAAGAAAGTGAGATATTCTCAGAAGTAGTCACAGGAATGATGACAAAACTACAGTCCAGATACTTAGTAGAGAGAGGCTAACTGAGCTTCTGGGCACAGGAAGAAACAGAATAAACTGATAGCATCTGCCCCATGCAGCAGACCCACCCATCTGATGAGCCAGATCAAGGGACCAAAGGGGCCGAGGGACCTGAAACACGTGCCTGTGCCCGGACAAGAAAAACAGCAGTTCTAAGACAACATGAGGCACAACTAGTTCAAACTGTACCTTTAAAAACTTGTTATTTGAATATCTGTCTAGAAAAGGGTAGTGAAATCTATGTATCCTTTGTCTTTCAACCACTAAATGTCGGTACAGTCAGTAGATGTCCAAACAGAGGGCAAAAGCATTACACTGTGTGAACAGCAGATATTCCTAATGATGGGAAGTGGCTAGTTAAAGAGGAACTGGACAATGAAGACAGAAAAAATCTACCAAGAAGTCTTTTTTTCAAAAGCCAATAGTAAATAGCAAATGCTTATGACACACTTTTATCAACTAACTAACTATTCATACACACTCATACGCAATACTCTACACCACTTGATGAAGCGGTCCTCTTCCACTTACATTCCTCCACTATCTCCACCAACAGATAAACAAATAAGAAACTGTGCAATTTATGGAAACACGATGAGGTGCACACCCACAAACAAAACCTCTAGCTGGGATATGCCTCCATATAAGGTGTATTTTTAAGTTGCAACCCAGGAATGAGTGTGTGTTTGCATAATACAAGTGAGAAAAATAAGAGTTTGATAGTTCCACATACTCCCTTGTGTTTGTTTGTGGCTTTGTGTCTGTGTGTACCTTTATGCAGACGTCGAGAATCACTTTCCTTGTTGGATAAGGAGAAAATTCTTGGAAGTATGCTGCCACAACTTGTACTCTGTACCAGCGGCTGATGGGACTATGAAAGACCCAGAATAGGCAGATTGTTACTTCCGAATAAAAACACATAAATATCAGATGTGTTACAAAGGTCAAAAAAGTACTGCATTATCAGAAATGATTTGTGGTTTTTTTTTGCATTCACAATGTTCTATGTGTGTTTGTACCTTGGAAGGGAAGCTGCGTCCGAGTGTTGCACACGTAAACTGGGGGTTCATGCTCGGTGCAGTTTTCTTTCGGGGTAATGTATCACTTAATTGTGACCCACCGTCTTTCTCAGACCGCTTCCTCTCCTCCAGCAAACGGAAATGCTAATTAAAAACACACAGAAGGAAGGGATGTACACATTTATCCATTATTCATCATAAATTATCCATCAATCAATAATTTATATGATTCATATCACTTTCTTGGTCATGTAGCAAAGAAAGTGCAACGACCTAAAAGCCCCTGCATGTAAGATTTTTATCATTTTTGACTTTGATGCCATCTTGTGGTAGTATCAAAAAGACACAATGGCAGCAATGCATGATGCAATTCTTAATGTTCTATTCATTAATTTGCCTCTTCATATAGATTGATGAGTCATATGAATAAATACACCACACTTACCAATTATTTATTACAATGCAATATCAATCAAACGTTCTAAATAATGTGTTGTCATATAAAAACAAACGCATATTTGCTGACACATTTACACACACATTACCTGCCTGCTGTGTCGTTGATGATTCTTTTTGACAGGAAGGGGAGGTGGGGGAGAGTCAGGGAGGGGGGAGGGATCTCGATATGTCACCATGTTCTCTGGCCAATGCACAGATGGCGTTTTGAGGGGGGGGCAGGGATTTAGATGGGAGGAGGAAGAAGAGGAGGAGGAGGAGGAAGAGGAGTGACAGTCGGCAGGTGAGGAAGAATGACAGAGCTTCGAAAAAAGAAAGAAACATTGTCAGGAAATGGAAAGACTGAAAAGAAAGGAGGAAAAGTGGAGGGAAAAAAATAAACTCTGCAAACAAGCCTCCGTGTACTAAACTACACATGAAAACCCTTCACACCTCTACACACACCTCATCCTCCGTCGGTTTGGGGGTGTCGTCATCAGGGGAAGGGTTTACCTTGGACTCAGTGGAGGCTTTGGAAGGGGCAGATTTAGGGTCCTGCCCAAGCTGTGAGTAAAGCTCATTGATTTCACTGACTGTGACATAGCCCTGGAAGGTATCGTGGAGAAATGGGGGAGAGAGAAGGGGTGAGGCAAAGCATGAGGTGAATCAGCCATTTTAAGATGTCGAACTTGAGAATTAGTTGTTAGAATGATGTGGAATTTTACTTACACAAGTTACTTACACACTGTAGTATTAAAATATACAAGACAATTGACATTCTGACAAAGTTACGGCAGCATTAATACATAGAACGTGGGTGTGAGCTGTGCATACAAATAATGAAATAAGTCTCAAATTCCTGGTGGTTACAACAAGAAATCAAAGTGGGCAAGCAGCAGAAGAAGAAGAGGAACTGAGTGCAGCTAATAAGAATGAGATGGACTTCAACAGTACGTTTGCACTGCGAGGACAACAGACAGAGATGCATTAGTTATACAAGACGAAAGTACCTCAGCGTTCTTGTGATAAATAGAGGAAAGGAAGGATTGACACACATCAGCCAAAGAGGCTGTGCCCTAGCAAGCAGAGGAGGAAATCCCAACGATTAAAATCTTGAGGATTCTGCCCACTTTTGGAGTTTAAAGAGGAGAGCTGCTCTCCTTTTCCTGACAACTGTCAATCAGCCTTACCTCTCTCAGAGTGAAACTCCGGCCACCAGTGAGGTCAGCGTATTTTCTTTCCAGTGAGGCAAGGCTTTCTTTCTCCTTACAGACAGAAAAATACAGAATAGAATTGAAAAACAATGTTAAAAACAAAACTGAACTTTTGATTTTTTTTTTCCCTTGTTGGTCTTACGCAGCACTAACATGCAAACACATGCAAACATGGATATCCTCGTACCCTTTGCAGCATTGATTCAAGGTTGGTCCTTTCTTTCAAGAAGCTTTCCTTTTCTCGCTGAGCCTGCTGAGTAATCTGCGTCGCTTGTTTCTTCAGAGTTAACAGTCGCTCCTGAAGAAGAGTGAAACGATCGCCTTAGGTGCTTCGTGCTGACTTGCAGAGTTTTATTAAAACATTACAGTAAAATACAAACAAATAAAGAGATGCAGCTTAAACTCAAATAGAGTTTGTTTTACTGTGAACCAGCTGAACATGCTGTGCAAGCACTACAAAAACACACAAAGTTATTCTTAATCTTAAATAAAATAGCAACATTGTCCAGATTTGACACACAAAGACAGTGGTTACCTTGCGAGTGACAGTGCTGCGCTGGTAGTCTGCGATCTCCCGGAGAAGCTGTTGTGTGTGTGTCTCCTTCTCCTCATCCTGCCTGCTCTCTTTCTCAAGCTGCTGAAACTCCAGGTCCTCAAATCGTTTAGTCTCTGCCTCAAGTACCTCGCAGTCCTGATAAAAATGTGAAGAAAAATAATGCACAGGTAAAAACTGGCAATCTAAAAAATGCATGTATACGGACAGATGTAACTACACATGCTTTTACACATACATACATATGAGAGAGAGAACACCAAGTATACATGCAAGCATACAGAAACAACCACACATAGGAACCTCCACCTGTTTAAATTACATTAACATAGCCAAAGTAAAGGTTTTACCCATGAGAATTTGCTCTCAGGGTGATATATGTATCCATGTCAATTATATTTACTGTGCAAACTCTGAGATGAAACTGCTTTGAGACAAACAGAAATATGCAAGCAAATAAGTATCAAAAAGCACTTCTCATCCCATAACACACTGACGAACAGATATCTGAAATGTCATGAGCACAGTCATGCAAAAACCAATGCAAAACCAGTGAAACATGCAACATATTATAGACTAAACGCATTCCCCTGGAATACAGATGATACAAAAGAGCTGTCTCCTCCTCTTAAAATCCCAGCCTTAGACACTATGCCCAAATTTCAGCGTAATTCTGTGAGTACCAAACAGGTCTTAAAGCCCAACCCTTAAGAAACTTTGTTTTATCAGAAAGGCTCAGTCTGTAGAAGAATACAAAGAGATCTGGAAACATTGAACCTAAAACATTAGATAATGAGAAGAGGGACATAAATCCAGAAAAAAAATCAAAGATGGACATGGGGCATTTGGGGAGAAGGTTTTTTCCAGAAAATGTGGGCATGTTCACATGCAAGTTCAAGTCAGCAAGCATTGAGTCCTTCTTTTTATACGAGTTTGGTGTAAACACTGTCCACATATACCAAATATTTAGAGTGTTGATAGCATATGTGCACTTGGGCTGTAGTCACCAAGTCAGCTGCTTGATTTGTTGGTCAATGCGCTCTCATCCGACCAATTTCTCATTGGTTGGACAACTACCAGAGCTACTTTCATAAGGAGAAAAGCACCACATCAACAGTCTTTCTAGATGAATCCTATAATTTTGGTTTCAGAAGAAACAGACTACCAGTGAAAACCCGTTCATTCAAACAACATTGAACTCGTCCAACCTAATGGTGACTGCTAAGTCTAACTTATTCAGTGTTTACTGAACATTTTGTGGAGTTGGCTCCAAACTGTTTCTCACAAAAGAAGTTGTCAGTGAGGCTATAATTTGTTAAAATGGATTGCCAAAAGGTCGAGTGTAAACTTTGCAACCAGCAGTTTGCATATTACAGCTTAACAATCAACATGGTGTAGCATCTAACTTTTTCTGCATTACATTCCTCAATATTCCTTGTGCTAGTGTTAGCAATTGATATGATTTTGTTTTCAGCAATCATTTGAATATGGGCAAGTGAATGCTGGTGTGGTCTGAGGGGTATATATTATAAAGATATATAGAAAGATATTGTTTGGTGGACTACAGTCCTAATGTGCACATACAGTATATCTGGTTTTATTCTGGCTTTCTTCTCTCAATGTATGCCGACACAGATGCTACATTTCCTCTTCATGTGTGAATACTGTCTTGTACAGTATTCTTGTTGTGTCATAGCTATATGGATCCAAAGGTTTAAACACCTAAGTATAGATTTTTCTTCTAGTGTGTGTGTGTGTGTGTGTGTATGTGGGGTGTGTGTGTGTAGCATGTGTGTGTAGCATGTGTGTGTGTGTGTGTGTGTGTGTTACTGACCCTGGCTAGCTGCTCCTGCAGGGGCTCCTTGGTAGCTTCAGGGCAGCTGTCCAGCTGGGAGCGCTGCTCACACACAATCTGAGCCAACCTCTCTACTCTGCCCCTTTCTGCCTGCAGCAACTCACACGCCTAGCACACACACATACACATGTGCATACACGCAGACATACACACATTCCCACACAAGGACATATACACCATGTACACATTTGTTTGTGTGTACATATAAATACAGAGACATGCACACACACACACACACAGGACAGAGAGAGGATGGCAGAGTTAGTGGGGACTAGGGAGCCACAGTTAGTTCCTATGACGACCAGGTCAATAAGGCTAGCCTAGAGGGAGGGGAGGGAGGGGAAGCTGGAGAAACACATCTACCAGAGCAGTAGAGAACTGATTATTAAAACTGAGCAGAAATGGAGGCATGGAGGTGGTCTAAATGGTGTCATGAGTATTATCTCCTGCTTTTTTTTTTGTTTTTTGTTTTTAATGGAAATGATTGAAGGAAAGGGTGTAAAGGGAGTGGCGGGATACATGGAATGACTCAGCAGAGGGTTAACGATTGCATTAATGGTAATTTCTATAAATATCACAACATACACAAGCATCCATAAGCTGTACAAGCACTCAATTTCCTCAACTCTTCAAGTCGCAGTTTTGAAAATTCGGCAACACTTATCTGATTGTTCTGTCTCTCTTTCTGTGTCCGTCATATTTATGACGCGGTTTTATCGTCTACACTATCTAGCAACTGTAGGCGCATGGAAATTTCAGGCCAGGACCCAGTCCAAAACAGGAAAACATCCCAGTGCCAAACCACAGCGTGTGCACAAACACACAAACACACACGCACGCACACACAACAAATTCCATCCATTTATCCACTTACACTTTCCACCTTGCCAGTGATACCATATGGTGGTATAAATGTAGAAAGACACACATATACATGCTTGCATACACCCCTGGTTGTCTCGGAGTAGTGTGTGTCAGATCGGATCACTTGGTGACCGCTATACCCTGGGCAGTATTAGCAGATATATATTTGGAGCAGAGACAGCATGAGAAGGATTAACACCTACCAGTTAGTCACATGACCCCTTGATGTATGAGTCTCCCTCAGTTGCTTATGTATTTTCAATACTATACACACACCATGAAAATGGAAACACATGTTGCTCGTTGAAAAAAAAAAAACAACAAAAAAAACTCTATTAAGTGGACATGTTCGGAGATGGGTTTTAAAACACCTGTCAGACTTTTTACATGAATGTCTTTCATTCCTTTGCATGACTAATAATATCACTTACCAGTATGTCAGGCAATACATTTGATTAATTTGCAGAAGATGCAGCTTCATGCTTCTGAGTCTGTAGATGTACACCGTCAGTCTTTCCTTTCCTCTTTTAAGCCAACTCGCTCTTGTCTTCAGTCAGTCATTATGAATTTCTGAAAAGTATGCTCTACCCTCTCATTGTATTTAAGTTAAGCATGGCCTGTTAAATACCTTTTCTTTTTCCTGCTGGGACTTGGTCTCCAGGTCAGCCATCTTGTTGTGAAGTGCCTCCAAAGCATCTTTTTCCTGCTGAAGTGCAGCTACCTCAGACTCCTGCTCAGCCTCAACCAGAGCTCGCTCCACCTCCACCTTTAAGAAATATACAACAAAATAGTAATGTTTCAGAATCTCTGCCATATCCATACTTTGATTTAAAACTTGTACATAGTACAACTGATCAATTTAACTTTTTCCCTAAAAATATGTTACTAAATTGAAAGAACATTTAATTTCACTTTAAAAAGGACATTTATACTTGACATTAAACTAGGTTAACAGTTAGAACAGATATTATAATGCATTCTGTCCTTTTTCTATACCTCTCGGGAAGATTCGTCCATTTGGTTGTCCAGCTCTTTGATTTTTTGTTCCAGCTCCTCCATGTTGTTCAGCACTTGGATCCTCTCTTCTTCCACGCGCCTCACTTCCTCCTCTGAAGGCATCATGTCCTGTCCACGGCGGCGAGCCGCATCATTTAGAACCTGGTAACATCACCAATACAGTCCTTTATTTAACCACTGTTAAGATGCAGTTGCAATAGCAACCTTGCACAATGCAACATTGAGGATTTATGGATTTATTGTAATTAGCAACCAATAGTATTTCTGATAGGCTCCAGCCCCCCCGCGACCCTAATGAGGATTAAGCGGTGTATAGAAAATGGATGGATGGGATGGATAGTATTTCTGTGTTACTAGTGTATACGAAAGGCTTCTACTCTTTTTACTTGTTTATTGTTGGGAATGTTTACAGACAGAAATCTAAATCTTGTATAGTAGATAAAATAATATTTGCCTGTGCAGTGCTAGGTTTTGCTGTACTTCTTCTTGGTATTAAAAATGTCTGTTCTACAAACAAATGTGGGCTGACACAAGCACACATACACCCACACATACAAACACCAGCTGTCAATTCTAAATGGTAACACTTGGCCTGCTCTAATCTAATAAATGGGCTGTAAATAACTTCCATGTGTGTACGTGAAGGATGTTTATATCAATACTTTCCAAGTATTAAGAGCAGTGATCCTTGTCACTCTCACGGATAAAGGAAGAATATGGAGCATAAACACTTTCCACATTAATCCTGATTAATATTTTAAGAAGCTGACCAAAGTCAAAGGTGCTACTTTAGCAGGTTTGTACCTTTGATGCAGGAGATGAACAGGCGTCTATTATTTCATCAACTCAAGAGAAGCTGGATTCAAGTCTATGGCTGCATTCATATTACTGCTTAACTATGGCGTGGCAATGAATTTTATGACAAAAGGTAAAATCTCAGTGTTGTTAGTGTTATTTCTTGCCTCTGTGTTCATCATTTTTTTGGGATGTGGTAGACTCAATCAGTTACGTGACACTGGTCTAAAAGGGATATTTACACTCCACTTCACAATCTCTCTGGATGAACAGGAGCGGATTGCATACATCTATGTGAGTCTGAAAATAGCAAATCTATTTGTGGATGAATGAAGTCCCCAATGCTTGACAACCATTCAAAAATGTGATATTAATAGGTGTACTCCATATTAACAAGTGAGGCGCTTCTGTATTTGCATAGTATAGAGATGTGCTTTCTAAATCCAAATAAGTGTCCTTCGTGTAATACCTCATTCATCCTCAGTCCACGTGGAGAAGGTGAGGGGGCAAAGCTTCGTAGACTGATAGCAGGTGATTCTGCCCTGTTGTCTCTTTGACCACTACTGCGCCTCCGTCGTACCTGGAGATCATCATCATAGTAACCATTTTCTGATCCAGGGGAGGTCATGTGTCCATTCCCCATCGATCCATTAAGAGCCGAACAGTCCGAAAAGACAGATGGTGTGTCATCATCGTCATCATTCAGTTGAAGCTTCTCAAGCTCCTGGTTGATCTTTTGGAGGTCGGCCACAGCAGAAGTGGGACTTGTAGCTGTGCCTCCTCCATCCCTTTCAGTCCGGCCCAGCTCAGAACAAAGAGACAAGATGGTCTCTAGCCGTTGACGCTCCTGAGATGACCACAAACATAAAGACACGAGTTATAGCAAATGCAAACACAGCCATGTCAAATAATCTATCTTAATATGTTACTAGCATTCTGGTGTTGTCGCAGTTAGTGCCTTTTAGACACTGCATAATGTTGGGTGTGTATAACCCCATAATTCCAGACCTTCACTGAATTTAGGTTACATTTTTATCAGAGTGGGATATTAAACGTTCAAAATGCAAGAGTCACAGCAGCTCAGTATTAATTCCATAGAATCAAGTTTCAAATGCTCAGATTACCTGGGGAAGCATCGCAGAAGTCAATCCCTCTCGTTAAAATGTTCTTGCTTTGTCCAAAATAAAGTAAGTTTACTTAGAACTCAGTAACATCCTTTCCTCTAAATGATTTACACACTCTAGTTTCGCATATAACTTGCATATTTTAGAAAGAATATAAAAATCCCTGGAGCAAGAGTTCTCTTCTCCACTCTTCTGCCCGAACACAGCTATATGTGGGGAGCTACGGAGACTGCAAAGAGTCAAAATGCCTCATAGGTTCAGAAGTAACTTCTCTGGAGGGGGACGTATACAAGCCACACAGCAAGCCTGTGTAAGTAATATTAGATACAGAGAGAGAGAGAGAGAGAGAGAGTGAGAGAGAGAGAGAGAGAGAGAGTAAAAACAGGAACAAGAGACAGAGGTGTGTGTGTGTTTGTGAGAGGAGAGAGAGGAAGAGTGAGCTAATGAGAAGGTGGACAGCTGTAAACTATGATCGGAAGTGTGCATGAGAAGAGGCCATGACTCCAAACACAGGAATGTGTTGGTGTGCAGTGCCACTAAGGAAACAAGACACTTTCTAGGGAATTGTGCTCTAGGAAGGAATCTGAACTAGGTGAAGTTTGGACTATGAAAGTCTTGAGACAGTCATCTGTCTGTTAAAAAAGGCTGAAAAGAGATATCCTCCTTATGACAGGCATGAATCAGTACACACACTTTATCGTGCCTCTTATTTAACCAAGTATTTTAGAAACAAAATATAGAAAATAATTTTCTTCCAGTCAAGATACATGATATAAATCTTTAACTACAATACAAATTCCTCAACAGCGGCATGATCAAATTTTTTTTTGAAATATGTAAAAGTTTACAGACAGACATACACCCTCAAGTTCTAATGTGTAATGTGAACTAGGAGCTGATTCAAAACAAGTCTGTGTCAGTTTGTCACCTTGTTCTATTCTAATAGACTGAAGCCTCTGTGGAGCTCCTACAGTAATCACCTGTCAACTAGAGAGAGACCGACAGAGGGAGAGAAAGGACCACTAGAAAATAAAAGACTGAGAGAAAGACACAGAGTCAAAGCCAAGAAAAGCAGAAGAGAGTAAAAAGCAAAATAAAATAAAAAAATAGAGGCAATAAGCACTGAAATATGAGCCAACGCTTTGGCTTGACACACAGTGGACAAAAAAAGAAGCCCCAGAATTAACATCTCTATCCTGCTTTATTTTTCAGTTGCAATAGCATCAGATTTATTCTAATAGTAACTGGCAATAGGGAAACAAGATTTGCTTGCTGTGAGTTAAAATAAACATTCATTTTCACTCTCAAACTCCTTATCGTCCTCGCTCCTCCTCCGTCTTATTTATTCCTCATGATTACTTTTTAATGTTCTCTCAACAGCAGCAAACACTGCAGTTCTGCTCCCTTATTTAATTCTTTACATTTGAAAATATTTACGCAAACTAAATAGTCTTTGTTGCAGATGATATCCCTTTATAGTTATTGAAGCACACAGCCATATAGCATGTTTGAATTAAGTTTTCCAAAACTACCACAAGAGGGCAGACAAAGTTAAGACAAGGAGAAATGCTTTCCTAAGCTTGAGCATTAAGCCTCAACTGTCCTGCTTCCAAAGCCCAGTACTGATCAGACCTTCGAAAAGTAACTCAAAACATATTCAAAAATGTTAAGTCTGATACATAATTTATAAACCTAAATCACAAATTGAACCAGTAGTACAAACTAAAATCTTAATATCCATCCTAACATTTGTAAAATCTCAGTTGGCTCTCTAATCAGAACACAAGAAGCAGGTCTATTATGATCATAACTCCATTGAAAACGTTTTGAGGTTAGCTAAAAGCCACAGTTTTTCTTGTATATGATTCACAAAACAGTTTCTCACAGCTACAAAGATGCTCAGCAGAATGTGGCTGTGTGAAACAGAGACATATAATGAGAGAAGGATAGTGGTATTATGTGTCCAGTTGTCATTATATGCTGAGCATCTGTGTGTTTGTCCACCTGCTACACTATAACTCTGTAATCTTGTTGGTTTCTCTAACCCACATCTGACTGATGTGTTTTGCGGCTCCTAAGCAGTACAAACCACACTGGGCGTATCTCCAGCTGACTGACATAAACATGTACCCCGCATACACACACATACAGAATCCAAGCACAGGGTTAAGAATAGTCCTGTTAGTATGGGCTAACTGCCATAAGCATCTGTTGAGTGGTGAACCTCACTATGTGCATGTGTGCATTAAGCTCCCTGAGAGAGTATATTTGAGAGGCAAAGAAGTATGCTACTCTGAAGAAAGGCATTCCTATACTCACTTTGTTTCTTGTTTGTTTGTACGCATGTCTAAAATAATATCACACTCTTCTTCTATATTTAATACTGTCTTGTTATCTTTAGAGCAACAAACTATTCACCCGTCAACAGTGGATTTATCCTTCTGCAAGTGTAGCTGATTTACACATTTGATAAAAATAAAAATGTTCTACTTTAAATCAAATACTCACCAGTCTCTCCACCTCCTGCTCGCGGAGTCTCTCCTCTTTTTGCCGTTGGTGATAATCAGTCAATTCTTCCTTCCCACTCAGTGAGCTGATACTCCCCCTTCTTTCCCTAAAACCCCCTGGTGGGGTCACCCCTGCCTTTCCAAATGACTGCCTCCTCTCCCCCAGACCTATTCCTGGTTCCAGCCCTGCCTTTCCAAAAGAAGTCCTCCTCTCTCCGAGTCCCATGCCCAGGGTGCCAGTGAGCTCAAGGCCTACTGCTCGTTTCTCCCTCTCCCCCAAAGACCCATCTATCCCTGAGGAGACTCCATGGCCAGCTAGCCGTTCTGGATCTGGAGGGCTGGAACTTGTGGTGCTGACAGAGCCCAGTGAGCTAGTGGAAGTCAGGCTGAGTTTTTTAGCAACACGAGGAGAAGAGGAGCCCCCTGCCCTGGATGGGATTGTCACATCTGGTGGGGCAGTTGTGGAAGAGATGGTGTGGGTGGTGGAGGGTGCGATTTTAGGGGTGGAGAGGGAGATAGACACAACACCTTCACCCTGAGTTGTGGTCTGGATTTGGTTCCTGTTCAAGGCTTGTTGGCTGGAGCTACTGGAATTATGGTTGAGGTCAGTGCTGGCATTCTGGCTGTAGTGATCTCTGCTAACTCGGTAACCCCCAGCAACGTCTGACCGTCGTGGAGGCAGCGTTGACAAAGTCAGCACTCCATTGTTATTGTCACGGGGAGAAGGGGAGGGACAGAGACGTGGTAGCGAGCGACTATGCCCTCCTCCCGTCATCCCAATAAGTGAGCCCGCTGAGTATTTCCTGGTTCGACCGCTGGGCGACGGCTCTTGGTTCCCATAGGTACGGCGGCCTAGACGGGGACTTGAGGGCATGCTGACCGCGCCCCCTGCTGATGGAGTGCGGGACGAGGAAGAGGAAGGAGGAGGAGAGAGAAGAAAGCTATCACTAGCAGCAACAGAACTGGAAGAGCCTCCACCATTCCATGTGGACAGTAACGGAGAGGAGCCTTGGTTGTGCAGTCGTCGGCTATCGCTGAAGCCAAAGCTGTCCTGACTGCGGCCAACAGATGTGCGGGAAGTCAGAGAAGAAGAGGGGTCAGATCGTCTTCCAGGGGAAAGAGGTGAAGCAGACTTAGGTGGACGATCTGAGCTGTAGAAACGCCTTGCCTGTTCCTGATAAGCTGATGAGGATGTGGCAGGAGTCGAGACAGGTGTGGTGGGTGGAGACTGAGACGGAAAAGAGAAAAAATATACTGTAATAAAACTGCTTGGAAATACTTCAAAATTATGTTTCACTGTAACATCTAGTGACACATTAAACTGCGTAAATATAACCAAGATAAGTCAAGAGAAAGGAGCACACAAATAAGACAGTGGTGAAGCTTTTGTAGATTAGTGTTGTTAGGTAAATCTTGTGTTGCCAGGTAAAAACTGTAGTTGAGCCCAGGATAATGAGTAAACCCTAATTAGCCATGTTTGATATTGTAGGTAATGAATAAACCTTTGTTAGCCCTTTTTAGCCAGAGACAGACCTCCAGGCTAACAACACAGACTTCACAAGTTCTGGTAAAGTGTGCTGTAAAAGATAATAAACCTTGAAGTGGAGCTAAAGGATGCCTGACCTGTGTGACACTGAAGTAGGAGGGGTTAGCATTCCCATTGGCTCTCAGGCTGTTTTCCAGGGCAATTTTCTTGCGTTGCAGGGTGTCCATCAAGTCTCGTAGCTCAGAGGCTGACCGCATGCCCCTCGCACTACTAGTTCCCCCCACCACTGCATGGCTATAATCACTGCTAAACTTCAGGTAATCTGGAGGAGAGAGATACAATGGAAAACATCACAAATGGATAAAATGGAAATATGTAGATACATAGGCTGAACAATTAAACAATTTCAAATTGAAATAGGAATTTAAATCATTGCATTGGTAAATCGCAAAGACTGCAATTGAGGATAATATGCAGCATGTCTGACCCAGAGTTTAAACTGTTGTATCAATGGTTTTACAAATTCATGCCATCCTCTCTTCCTCATGAGAGAGTCGCACTGTTGGTGATTTCTCATGTTGCAATGCCCAGTGAATACTGAACTGAATGATACTGCAAATTAAATTGTAATTTAATCTGTTAAAAAAAGCCTAAATCATTCAGCCCCAGTAGCTATGTAAATACAGGTGAACATTAATTAATAGAGTACAAGGGAGATGAGAAAACAGAGAGGAACAAATGGGTAAATTATGGGCAACGAGAAAGAAAAACAATCCAGCAGATTAAAAGCAGGTGTATAGTGTGGTGGATGGACATTACATTTTTCTGTTTAGTTTGTGGAAAACTGAGGGAAAAAGATCAGAAACAGGAAAAGAAGAAGAGGGAAGACGGAAAAAAGAGAGGGCTAAATGGTCATAAATAGGAGAAGAAGAAAGGAAGAAAGAGAGTTGTATGTGTACCTGAAGCTGCAGCTATTCATAAATGGGGCTCTTGGCAGAACAAATCCAACCCAAACAATCCACAACTGGCAGTGGATCCCCGAGAACAGGAGGCAACACATAGACACTACATGCAAATGCACACTCACACGACACCATCTATTAGGTCCAAGACAAACAGTTTAGTTTAGTTCCTTAGTATAGGATTTTGGTAAATGAAAAAGACCACAAAAAATTCTGAAATACCCTCAAGAGACCCCCGCCCTTCCTAAAACCTTTTATTTAAAGCAGTCTCAGCAGCACAGGGGTCTGTCTGCAAACCTCAACAGAGTCTGTTTTTTTTAAAACTTCCTTTCTGCTAAGTTTAACTTAGAAATATCAGCGAAAGCTATTATTTACTTTGTTAAAAATTGCTGAGATGAGCAGAATTATGTTTAATTGATAGTTCTATTTTCCATGCAGAATTCCAAAAAGCTATACATCCTGTCATTAGAAATGCAGGTGAAAATTACTTAGGCAAAAGCAACATGTGAGAAACCTGCCCATTTTTTCAAATTCATCCGTGGCTTTATGTGGAAAAAGAGCTATTACAATGTTCAAACCTGGACCACCCAGTGTTTAACTGCCACACACACACACACACACACACAAAAGCTTTCCAACATCTGACAACTGCGGCTCTGCCTCAGAGAAATACAAATGTGTGCGTTCCATGTGTACAAATTCCACTAACATACATTAATGTTTACAAATTTAAGTATGTGTCACTATTCAACTGCTACCTAGCCGAGCAATTTTGTGCTCGCGCACTTGAAAGTACACGTCATAGCTGAACATAAGCCTGTGTGAGAAAATGTCAAACCTTACATGGTGGAGGGAAATAGGGCAGAAAATGAAAGACATCATAAGATCTAGAAACACACACGTACACTAACACACACGCACACACAGGGTGTTTGTGTCCATACATGGGCAGATTTATACTGGAGGCCTGGTGTGCATCAACTCTCTTTCTATTGTAATCATTCTCTTCTATGCCTAGCTATTCTTGCTTTGTAGGAGTCTTTCCTTTAGGTGCACATGTCAGAATATGAGTCTTGGCAGTCCAGAGGATAACGGTAAAGATTATGGCTGCTGGTAATAACAATTTGGCTGAGAGTGTGTGAGTGTGTGTGTGGGAGAGAGAGAGAGAGAGAGAGAGAGAGAGAGAGAGAGAGCGAGAGAGAGAAAGATGTATGAAATCATCAGGGGAGATCAGGGAGAGAGGAGTACATTCTTTGAGTGTAGGGGTTTAAAGAGCAAGAATTTCACTGAATATAGCGCGCGCACACACACACACACACACACACATATACCTTACTCACAGCCCGATCAATCACTACACAGTCAAGCTGTATCACCATGGCAATGGAGGGGTACCAGATGACAAAAACATTCCAATATGCTTTGAATTTTAAGTTTCAACATGTGTGCAACAGTGAGTTTGTGTGTTTAGGAAAGATGCATGAGAGCTGAAAGAAGTACCTTCCGCCATCCTTATGCTGTCTTTATCATCACAATTATTAGACAGCAGACAAACATATACAGAAAAAAGTTCATAAGCATGCTCTCTCTTTCTTGATCAACTGGCTGTGCACATTCTCTCTCCCTTATGTTTTTCAGCCAGTTGGTGGGATCACATTCAACCTTTAGTGTCTGAATTTCTTTACATTCTTGAGGCAACGTCAGGTCATTAAAACAGGTCACTGTCCATCCCAACTCACCACCAAACATGGTTGAAAGGAAGGTCATGAAGGACAGTCAGCCAGCTAATGTAGGCTTAACCGGTGTCACTGTACTAGTATGAATGAGGTGTAATACACACACCTAAGACTAACACCTGTGTGGGTCATGTCTACCTGTAACTCTAACCAGTCATCAGTGTCACTGGATAGGAGAGACGCTATCTGTTGCAACAGATGTTGCATGAGAAGAAGAATGTGATAAAACACTGAAGATGGCAATGGAGTGAACCATGCTTAAGCAAGGACAAGAATAGAAAAGGTGGACAAGGACATGGTGATGTGGCAAAATAAAGGCACCGAGGAGGAGCAAAGAAAAAAAGAACAGGAAAAAAGTACAGGGTCAGCGAGAAGGTTTACCGCTACCCCACCACTCCTTGGTATGCATACCTGTGTTGTAGGCTAGAGCGGACACATGGCTCTTTTGTGGAAGCATGCTCTTCATTCTGCTGGCCTCTTCAGGATGGTTGAACCGGAAGAAATAGGACTTACCCAGACACAGGGAGTAACCTGAAGGGGAAGCACAAACAAACAAGGTCAAATTTAAGATGCCATTAATAATGACTGACACAAAAGATGAGAAATCAACAGTTAGATAACAGATTCAGCACTGGGCCAAAAAGTAAATGTAATCAAGTAAATCTTGGCTTTTGATTTAGTGTGACAGAAACACAGAATCTCACAGAGCACAACACTGCACTACTACGACATACAGAGTGCACTGCAAGTACTGTATTTACATATAGTATGTTACAATAGTGTATGAAGAGACAGTCATAAGCCCAGCTTTTAAGTAGTATAAGCCTGGAATATTTATTCACAGCAAGACACACACTCGCACATGCTTGTGCACAGCCATTCCAGACCACAGTGTTTGCTCTGGCCATCAATTAGGCTGAGAGGGCCAGGTATTAAACAAGATGTCAGGGTCACAACCTCTGTAATACACACAGCCAGCCACAGCTGTCCAAATACTTCAGACGGCAACAGAGAGAGACAGCAGTGCTGACACATATATAGGAGGTTGTGGTTATCTTATTATGTGTTTTCTTATCATGAATCTGTATCGTTTTCATCTCTGACTTTTTACGTGATTAGTAATGGTTTACGGTTATCGTGATACGTGTTTTACATACATTTAATTTTAATTTGTACTTCTTGGCCACATATTGCTTTGGTAACCTTTTGTCTCAAATGGAAAGTAGTTTGAGTCAATTTAATGTTTTAAATAAGGAAAGTAACTTGTTTTTTCTTGACTTATGCAGGAGAAACACAGATAAATAGTACAAAATAAATGAAAACACTACACTGATGCACATTTCGAGGGTTACGCTGCAAAATGTAGAGAAATTCAGAAGACATGCTGATAAACAAAGTCTTATTTGTCTGCAGTCTTCTTGGTTCATTTAACCTCCATCATTGAGGATAGACTGTTTAACCCCCGCCCCCCAGGATGTTAGCAAATGTGTAAAAGGCTAAAAAAAAAAAAAAGCACCTCCTTAATAGCTCCATTACAGTTACATCAGATTCCTTGGACCTGAAGTCAGACACAACCACTGAGGCAAGAGGGGGGATAACGAGAGGGCGAGTGGAAAAAGACTGAATGGAAAAAAGTCCAAATTGTTTTTCTTTCTTTTCCTTTCTGTCATTCTCATCTTTTTTCACCCTTTTCTTTCTCACTCTGGACCTCATGTCCAGCTTCATGAATATCTCAAGCTAAAATAGCCTAATTTAGGATCATTGTTTAAACAAAAGAGGTCGTATCTTTCTAGACGTAGCTTTAGAATGCCTTAAGAGCATTTTTTCTTTGCCTTCAAAGCTGTAATTCTCGGCACAGGGGGAGACCTGATTGCAGCGGTGAGGTAGAGCGAACACCACACACGCATGAAAACAGTGCAAAAAAAGTGTTTAGTCTACACAGCTGGACTGTGAACTTCTCAAATCCATACTCGTATAAACACAGTTTTGCAGGTTTGGGCAGAAACTGCGAGGAAGTGGCATCATGACAGGAAGATCAAAAGACGCTTCTCTCTGTAAGGAAAACGGGAGACGCACACTTACACAGACACATAAGTCACCGTGTCAGCAAGCATGAATAACAACTAATAATATGTTTCTCATCACAAGACATGAGTAATGAAAGTGTACGTCTTCAAAATGTTGTGCTCGCTCCATGTATCTGTGTGTGGGAACATGTCTTGTAACAGCGTCTGCCTAATTAATCACAGTACCTCTCAGTATTTAGCGTAACAGCTCACACACAGGCATGCAAACACACACAGACACACAAACACTGAGCCAGCAGTCAACTCTTGTAAAAATCTAATTTCCTACCCTCAATAGTCTCGCCATGTGCCACCTTTAAAGAGGAGGGTAAAGTGTGACGCCCTGATTTGTTCACAGCCCCCAACCCTCCCTTCTTTCTAATTTCCTTTCAACTCCTTAGCTAACAAATAACTACAAGCTAATCCCCCCTCCTTTTTTAATCTCAGCATAAATTAATAGCAGCATGTGTGTCTACATGACACAGGATAAGACACAAAGATAAAGAAACTCAGAAGCTGCCTTTTGAACTATAAAACATGATCATTAATTCTTCTCTTTCAAACACCAGCAATAACCTTTTTCTAATCTTTACTCCTAAAAACCATCTGTGACACTAAAGAAGGCAATAAACAACAACCCCCTACATTCAATCAAAAAATCTCATCGTAGCTGCTTCCACACAAACTAAAATTAAGTCTGCTGTCCTAAATAACTTCAAAAACACACGACTACCCTCTACAACAACACACATTTAATCTCATTCACGTGTTCCCTTGTTTACCAGCAAATTAAGTTTGCCTCCCATGGCAAGACATGCCCTCTCCAACACATACACATATGCACAGACCCTGTCCAACAACAACAAAACTTGAAATTAGTCTGTATATACATTTATAGGATAATTTAAAGTTTGCAATCTACAAAGTCAGACCTCAGAGTCTTTGAGGACACAGATGTAGGAGTTGCATTAGGTCTGGAGCCAATTTCTGTCCCCGTGTAGACCTAGACTCTCACCACAATGTTATGGGAGGGGAAACTCAAAACTGTTTCTCTGTTTGGTTAACATAAGTGGAGGAATTGCCAAATTGAGACCATTAGGCTAGAATGAAAAATAAACCAATTACAAAGATCCCATGTCGAACATGTGCCTGGATGAAGCTCAGTTACCTGCTACTTGGTGAGGTTTGACATTCAAAATAATCATAGTCAAACATTTCAAAGTGGAGTCAGAAGAATGCTCACCCATTCTTATCAAAAAGTACAAATTAGTTTTAAAACTGTTGCCGTCAAAAGCTACTACGATCTCTAAAATCATCATGGCACTGAAGCCGAAGCTACAACTGAATTTATTCATTCATGAAATTATGCATACACACACACAAGTCCCAGTGGGAGTGTAAATTGGCCTCTAAACCACAAAGTTACCCTCTCTGGGGCACAAGAGTCCAGCAGTAACATCATAAAAAAACAGACTGGTCTTCCTCAGGGGAGTCGGTGTAGATTAGTTCAGTCATTCACTCTCTCTCTCACACAGACACATTCATATGCATACTGTGGCCACCAGCTCAGCAGCTACTTTCTCTCGCCTAAACTGTAAATCTTATCCAAAAAGCATAGACACACCCCACTTCCCTCGAGTAAAGGATGCAGGCCTGGATATAAACTATTAGCAATCTCTAATCCATCTATCTTTAGAAACAAAGCTGTCAGAAAGATAAGAAAAAAGCTAAATACAAACACAAGAAAAACTGATCCAAAAAAAAGGAGAGACTTTTCCTTCATCTGTTTTTAATGTAAAACTTATAGAAGAAAAAGCCCAAATGTGCCTGGGGCAGGCAGAAGAAAGACTTGTGAAGACAATAACATCTGAGACAATGAAGCAGGTTTTGTTTTCAGGTGTCAGGTATCCCGACCACTGAGCCCGTCTTCATAACCACGGGCTACTTCTCTTTGTCATGTGCACTCACACCAGTCTGTGAACTTGCCAGCTAATATATAACCCTAAGGCATGCAAACAGAGCTTACTACCACTAAAAAAGTGCAGGGAAATACGCTACAATCAACAGGTTTTGATGGAACACTGCCAGAACTTGGCTGTAAATAAGAAATTCAACTTTAACCACAAAGTGGCTTGGGTTGTATCGAGTTGCAATGGTGATTCACGCCTCCAATCCTGCTGTAACAATGAGGCACGTGAAGCATCGCTTTACTGTCTTTTATCATTGTCAACAAGCCAAAAGCAAAGTTTAACAAAGAGTGTTAAGTCAAAGAAAACACATCAGTTCAGTGATTTCGGTTTAGTGCATTATTTTTCACAATAATCTGCAAACTAGTGAAACATAACTGATATTTCAAGAGTTGCAGATGATAAGAAGGAGTTCTGATTTTGAAACAAATGCTGTTTATCCTGATTGGTAAAAGTACTCTGTTGATTTGAGTGTTAAGTAACATAATAAAAGGATGAATTGGTCATAAATAGGAATTTAGGACACTGACAACTGCATCAATGAGCATGACAGGCTGATTGTAAAAAATTGTGTTCACAAAAGACAAAAAATCAATAAATCACATGCATCAGAGTGAGACAGAGAGAGTGAATGAGAGAATGAGCTTGAGACACTTTACATACAGATTCACCTTAGCATATACACAAAGAAGCACAGGTCCTAAAGCCTCAAGTGAGCTTATGAACTACATGAAGCTTTCAACTGACATGCAAAGACAGATACAAGCTATAGATAGGCTAGGTCCTAGTTATAAGCAAGCTATTTCTTGTTTTATGCTAAAATTACTCTGTGATGTGTAAAGCGTCGTGAAACATCACTGTTTAAATTAAAAAACAGTGTTGAAGTACAAAGTGGCATAAGTGGTTTCAGTTAAATTAAGTAAGAAAAATAGGAGTAAACAAATAAAACGTTATTTGGTTAAAAGAACAAAACAACAACAACAAAAAAAACCTGAAACAAATCCGTTACCAACCTTTTGAGTCCCATTCAGTGAGCACTTATCACGACAGGAATTTCTAGTTTCTTTCTTTTAACGTCTAGCAAATTATCATGTCAAGACCTCAAATGGACTTCTTAGCTGACGGACTGAGAAAGAAATAAATTAAATCTCGATTACAGTGGGGCTCCGTGTTGTTGTCTGCCTCCCTCCTCCTCTGCGAAACGCCTCCTCAGCCGCCTTGACTCCGTGTGGAAGAAAGTTCACTGATTTACCATCTACCAGTCTAAGTGCGGGACTGTACCAAATTTCTCAAAAATGGGGGGGTTAAAAACCGGGATTGCCACAAATAAACGACTTAAATACGGTCAATGTCACTATTGAATGTTTGTGCCACTTACGCTGCACGAAAAGGATAAAGCACAGATGCAAGTAATAGAAAGAAAACCAAACGTAAAGTAACAGATGGCACGCCAACACCCCTATTTGAAGTTGGTAGATTCAAAGGCGATTCGACGGTGAGGTATTTGGTGGACGCCCCCTCGGCTTTCTTTGTCTACCTACCTATTTTCCTCGTCTTTTCTTTGAAATACATTGGACCCTTAATCAGCCAGTTTGGAGACTGACTTATACCCTTGGAGGCTTGATTCTACAATGGCGACAAATTAGCTAATTTATTAAGTGATTCATCTGACTTTTCAGATAAAACAACAATAGAGAAGGGTTAGTAAACAAGGTTTGGGAGCATGCATCACAGACAGATAACACTGAAAAGTAAATAAAGAGGGGGTGGAAACATTTTAACTTTGCCCCTCAGCCTAGTTAAGGGTTGTGTCTGTAACAGATGCTTTGTTGTCTGCAAGCATTTCCAATATAAAATGAACGCATTGACTCTTGTCTTTGATCATGTGAGCACACTGTGCGTAGACAAACCCATAGAGGAAGAGAGGGAATGTATTTGTACAGCAGCTGAGATTTGCATTTGCCTCAGGCCGGTGTGAATGCTGGGAGTCAAAGTTCTACGCCCAAACTGTGAAATGTGCATTGAAAAAAATTACATAATGGACATGAATACAACATGCTGAAATTGTGTTTTTCCCCTGTTAATAGCTTTTATGCATAACAACAGAAACACTGCTAACAAAGCACACTACATGTCTGTCTGTCTTTTCTTTTCCTATCATGATTTTGACTGTCATCATTTCTGTTCTTATGCCCTACTACAATTCTACAAGTGTCTTCCAGCTGTTCCAGTGAATTAGCGGTGAAGCTGATGTGATTCCAGGTCAAGCACTGAATTCCCAAATACAGAACAGATCATTTCCTAAACATAGCTAATCATCTCCAGACTGCCCTACAGTGTGTGTGTGTGTGTGTGTGTGTGTGTGTGTGTGTGTGTGTGTGTGTGTGTGTGTGTGGTTAGACTAACTCAATCCAGAGCATCAGAGGCCAGAGGATATTCCTGAAAGATGCTCTCTCTCTTTCTCTCTCACTCCATAATTTTCCTAAACCATGCCCTTTTGACTTTTCTAACCTCCTTTCTTTTCCTTTTCGGTTCTCTTCTCCACCCCTGCTCCTTCACAATGCCCTGGGCCTTGTGTGTGTGGACAGACCGAGATGATGTAAATATTTGAATCGGCCAGGCACAGCAGGAAGATAAATACGGCTGTCAATATTTAACTTAAAATGGCCAGGCCGCCCAGGACACAATGAAAAAAAAAGAGAAAAGTGGAAATAGATAGGATAGACAAGTCAGTGTGCTGCATGGTTTCTGAAAAGAGAGAAAGGAAAAGGGAGGAAGACAGAGTGAAAAGTGTTACAGAAAGCATGAAGCGGTGAAACAGGGAGAGCACTGTGACTGATAGACTCCCGGGAAATGGAGAGAAGTGAAAAGAAGGGGAGAGGGTAGCCTGCCAGCAGATAAACAGATCAAGATAAGGTCAGACAAAAAACAGACACAAACACGTGGGCATGGATGAACAGCAAGATAAGCAAAGTAATACACTGGATCGAGTATGTTACTATGTCAGTGTGTTTCCCTGCAGTCTACAATAACAGAATCTGCAGGGTTTGAGAATGAACTGCAGTTGCTGGAAGCTGTGACTCATTGCAGCAGCTTGATGTTCCAAACCACTGTGAATTAAACCAAACCAGAGGTGAACACACATCATTCAAAACACATACACGCAAGTGCACACACACACACGCACACACACACACACACACACACACACACACACACACACAGGCTTATACATTTATGTACAATTACGCACATGCAAACATACTGTACACCCCGTCGTTTCCATGCAGAACGTCAGCAGAACATTAACTGTACCCATATGACTCATACACACATGGATAGGAATGCAACTTACCCAAACCACAAACTAACCACTCTCCCTCTTTCACATACACACACAAGAGTTATGAAATACTTAAAGTATGTACACTGTGAGCAATAAAATAAGCTTTCATTCAACCTCTGTACTGCCAGTAACCAGTAGGGGGCAATATCTCAAAGCGTGTATGTGTGCAAGAAAGAGAAACACCTGATATGCAGTCTACTGACCTATTCTGAAAGCACACTGCGCTATCGTATAGCCTGTGTTTGTGATCTTACCCTGTGTGAGCGGCGTGGGCACAGTGACCTGGGCTCCATCCAGACTGCAGAGGTGACCACAGGGGTCCAGGGTCACCACCCCTCCTGTTATATTGACAATGAGGAGAGTGTCAGGGTTAAGCTTTTCTTTGAGCTTTTCAAGTTTTAAACTGTGATTCAAAACAACATCCCACAATCCGGTGTATTTCCCAATTGAAAGATGGCTCCTTAATCTTCCTTCATCATAACATCTACATAAAACCATACCATTTCCATTGTCACTGAAGGGCTTTCTGCTGAAAGGTAATAATTATCCAAAATGTGCCACACAAAAACAACATTGAGAGCATACTTAATCACTTAGTTCCTCTGTGTGTCTTCAAAGAGTCTTTACTTTCAACCACCCTAAACAGTGTACTGACAGATATCCAGCTCAATAGTTTGCCCTCTCTTAGATTACACTCTTAAGATGGTGTATTATGATAATTACATTTGATTCTGGAGTAGTGTTGTTATAATAATCATCTTCAAACAAGAAAGAAGATGCTTACATGTATTTACTGACTGAGATAGCATTTGTTTTCTGTGGATTCAGTGGTTTAAACAAAACTAACAATCATAGACTGAACTGAGATTAAAAGCTTGTTAATTCAAGGTGGAGCCATTTGCACATGTAAACACACTCTGCAGTTCATAAAAGATAATGTTTTAAATCAGAGATGTGCCAATATGATGAAGTCCCAAACTGACACCAACCTTCATTGATGATGAGGCAGTGCTCCGACTCAATGCCAGGCCCCTCTATTGTGATATCTTGAGGAACTGGAGCATCATCTCTGCCTATACGGGTTACCCCTGAAACATCAAGGTATCCACTTTAATAATCCGTAGAATACAGAAATATAAGCAATATAGATTCATAACTGCGATTGACAAGCCGTGAGAATCTGCACATCTCTGTAGAACTGACTTCTCTTCGCATTTTCGCAAGGGAATAAAACTGAGGCCCAAGTCTGTCTCATATGAGTGGCCTACTTTTCATACTTTCAATTAGTATTATGGATTTGAACTGACTGGTTATTCTTAAATAGGCACATTGTGGAGAAAAATAGACCCTCAGTTTTCCTTAAATGTCTTGTCCACATTGTTGGCATTCCTTACTGACATGGAAGGGCACGCCGAGCTGGGAGAAAGTGAATACAAACTTAAAATGTCACAGTACTCCAACATTACAATTAGCCTCTGTACTGCATTTCTAATCTTTATTCTAATGCTATTCATACAGCTGAATGTATTGTGGCCAAAATCACCCTCATCCTTATTGAGCAGCCATTTTTTTCTGCTTTTGTTCATGTGGACACTTTAGGCCACAGTTGATACTTTGTCATCCTGAAGTTGCCCTTTTAAAACATATAAATCTTTTCATATATAGTATTTAGATATTTTTTCATTGCATATGCTTTAGGAACATAATGAGAGTTTTGTGATCCATGTGAGAATGTATGAGAGTCACCGCTGTTATCCATCTAAGGATGGATATTTACCACCTTTTAAAGCTTTAAATCTGATCTCAGGCAGTTTGTATTCTGCTATCTGCAGGCTCCTGAATAGTAATCAGCAGTACAAGCGTATCTGACTTTATCATGTTGTAGATCTGTGCTCGGATTGCTTCTCTCTCGTGTGTTTGGCCAACCAGCTAGAATAATAATGAAGCTGTGGCACCTGTGGCTTGTTGAACTGATGAGTGTGTGTGTGTAGGAGAGCTAGTAAAGAAGAAGGAGTACAAGACACCTGTGGATGGCTGATGATAGATAAACTATAAATATCTATAAATACAGCCCAGTGTAGTAGGGAACTTTATCCCATGGGTCTGTATGTGTGCACACATACTATACAACCTGTGTGCCAGTAACTGCAGGATGCATTTTGTTATGAATAAGAAACAGATCGAACTGATTTAAATAGCGCATTCCAAAGGCACACTGTGGAGTTCAGTCTTTCAATTTAATGAAGTGGGTGCTTTACTTTGCTGCATAAAACACAGCCATAAAACCATGCAGTGTGTGTCATCTGTGTTACTGCTGTTTGGGTTGGAGTCTGCTAGCAAAGTGTTGTCTTCATATTTATATGATTAACTGTGGGTTCAGTGGGACTATTTTCATGCTAGGTGACAATAAACAGAAATAAGCAGGGATCTGGTTGGAGTAGCTTGTTTTAATACCTGTTTTTAGCCTGAACAAACCCATGCAAGGAACCAGTGTTGGTTCCCTATTGTGACTTCAATGCAGCCCAGCGTTGAGTTTTGCGTTCCCCTTGCCCTACCCCCACCCTGACTCTCTAGTAACCATAGAAATAAAGTGACTGGTGTGCAGGGAGAGGGCAAAAAGAAGGCAGAATTAGAGCGGGGAAAGGCCCGGCAGCAAAGCAAAGAGAGTGGGATAAGGAGGGGATCGTAAAGATCTGGTTTCACTACAGGTCAGAGCTTTACATGACTGGTGAGAAAGTACATTTGAAGATTTAATGATCCGCGGACTTCAGGGATGTAGGTAAAAATGGATGGCTACTGCATGACCTGGTAATCCAACCCAATGTATATGTGTTTCTATACTTGTGTGAGTGTGCATTACCTTCTTTCAGTGGCAGCAGGGTGATAGCCACACTCAGCCTCCCACTACCCAGGCTAACCAGATGAGGCGTAGCCGTCTGGACCTTTAACCCCTTCCCCGTGTCGATCAAGTCCAGGGGTGGAGACTACAAGCATCAGTCACAGTGGAAAGGTCAATGAGGTACAACATTTATTTATTTCGTACACGTTTCATTTTTGTAAGACTAAAATGAGAGAAATTTTAAACTTAAAGCATTTGTGACAAACGGTATACAATGTGCAGTTGTATGTGTATGTTCTCTCACCTTGGGTTCAACTGGAGACATCTGATCTGACTCCGGTTGGAACATCATCTCAGATTCCTGTACACACACACACACACACACACACACATCCAAACATACAAATATTCTGTAAATGTAAGCACAAACAATGTAGACATGCAGGAGTAAGACCACTCAAGTGCACAAAAGTTGCACACGTCTGCACTGAATGACCATACACATAGCTACACTCAAATGCAGTGCACAAAAACGCACTAAAGTGGAAAATAAAGTGCTCATGGCATACCCAGCTGCCACATGTGAGGAACTCTCACTCTGAAAGTGCTCCAAGGAGAAAATACCACTTGAGAGGAGAAAAACACACACACATGCACAAAAGCTTGGTTTTTTTTGCAGTGGGAAGAACTGGTGGAAATGTTCCATGAAAACAGACTTCCCACGACTTGCTGGTTACGGCTTGCAATCACACTGCTTTGACTGTGTCCGTGTGTAAAAGACAGACAGAGTAACATATGATGTGTGTGAGGTAAGTGTGTGCGTGAATACATATGAGGAAAAGTGTGTGCATGTGACAGACAGGGCTTTGGCATGTGCGTTACATAAAATATCTTGTTTCAGCTTTGATCCAACTTGTAGCAGGATCACAGGATAACAAATGACATAGCTGTTTCACTCTCAACTAGTCTTGTGACAACTACTCCCCAAATTACCATGAAATTGGATAGATATTCATGGTCACCAGAGGGTGGTTCCTGCTAATTCAATGACCTTTTGATAACGTTAAAGCCAAAATTCCAACAAGAAATACCAGTCTGCTCCATGAAATTTATCACGCATCAAGAGAATGACTTTGGACAACCTATTAGCTTTCTCCTTATGCCACAGGTCAAATGTCAAGGTACATGTCCTGATCTGACAGGCTGGATATGTTGATCCATTAATGTTCCCAGCAAGCTGAACCGTTGCTTTTCTTAAGCATCCACCTCAGAGCAAACTCACAAAGACCAAAGGTGTGGTTTAATTGCAACCACTACAAATTTGTATCAATTTAGTTTTAAATGAAGGTGGCATCAAGTTCAACAGTTTTACAATGGGCCAGAATATGCTGGAAACCAATGAAAACCTAGATTGACATAAAAGATGGAGTATGACAATCTTTGAAGAGGAATGAAAACAGAGCAAGATGAAAGGAAGAAAAATCAAAAATGCCTCAAGAATGTGTGTGCACTGTATGTGTGTCTGAGTAAACACACTCAGATCCTTTGCCAAGGACAACCCCTGCAGTACCCTGCAATTCAACAGAGCTCAAACACTCTTGCTACCATTTGTGTGTCCACATACAATCAAAGACACAAGCTGATGCACACACACCCACATGGATGAGTGAAATGCTTCTCACCAAAGCAGAGATGATTACAGCGTATAGGAAACCACAGCTACCACATCTTGTTTTCCACCTCCTGTCGTTTCTTTTTCTCTTCCTCTTCCCCCTCCTCTCTATCTTCCATTTCCTCCATATTATCCTGCAGTGATCTCTTAATAAATCAAAATTAGACACCTCAGACAAGCTGACACAATTTCCAAACGCTTTTCCTTCCGCTTCCTTTCCTTCACTGAAGTGCTCTTTTACATTTTTTCATTTGTTTTACAAGCTCTACAACCTACTTGTGTTCTTGTCTTCTCGTCTTCCCTCTGTCTTTTCTGCGCTTCTACTTTTCCATGTCCTGTCCTCCTTAATCTCAGTCTCCTCTTTTTCCTTTCTTTCCTCCAATCACCAGCAAAGGAAATGCACATCAAACTCTGTAGCTCTGTACCACGTCCTGTAATTCAGCACCAGTTTCCTTTCTGAAGTCACATCCGTGTGCTGCTTTGACACCCTCATTGCCTTTAAAACACACGCACACTTGCAATTCAGCTACCCTTACAACCCCTATCCACACACAAAAATCCACAAATAAGGTCACACATCAGCTTTTTATGCTATCGCACAAAGATATGGGCACTGCATTCCACTGATTTTTTTTTTTCCAGCACTGGTGTAGACAAAGCAAATACGCTGCATATGATGGCAACAACATGTTACAGAGAGCTGCAGAAAAATGGAGGTCAAGCCAATTTCAAAGTTTAAAGACGACTATTCTCTCCTCTTGCTTTTATGCTGTTAGTCCTTGCTGACCTCCTTGACTCTCCCCCTCTGTCTCTCTCTCAAAAAGAGCTTCCATCATTCCTTCTTATTGTCTTTCCTTTGCTCATTCTCTTTCACCAGGTAAGTTCCAGTCTAGGCAGGTCAAGACAAGTCTGTGGCCTTGTTTGCTTTGGTTAAAGCAGAGCAGTGAGGCGTGTCAACCCCCCATTCTAGATATCCAGATTCACAATCTTAGATTCAAACACCAAACCCAATGCTATCAGGAAATTTGAACCAGAAAGCTAAAGGATGAGATTACTGGAACCAAGTATTCTCCTGCATGTACACTGATCAGCCACAACATTAAAACCACCTGCCTAATATTGTGGAAGTCCCTTTTGTGTCTCTAAAACAGCTCTGACCCATCAGAATTTCTGACTTCTGAGAGTGTTCCTGTAATGTTTGGCATCAGGATGTTAGCAGAAGTTCTTTTGGGTTCGATAGGTTGCAGCGTGGATCAGACTTGTTCCCTCAGATGTTAAATAAGATTGGGATCTGGGACGTTTGGAGGCCGGTTCAATGCTTCGGGCTTGTTGCCATGTTCCTTGAACCGTTCCTAAGCAGTTTTTGTGGCGTGGCAGAGTGCAGTCTGGGATTGTTGTTGTCTGTGGTCTGCAACACTGTTTAATTAGGTGGTACGTGTCAAAGTAACATCCACATGAATGCCAGGACCAAAGGTTTCCCAGCAGAACGTTGCACTGTAGCAGGATGGTCACTGTTATTCACTTCACCTCGCAGTGGTTTTAATGTTGCAGCTGATGGTTTTGAAAGTAGAAATCTGTAAACGCACAAGTAGTATTGTGAATTTACATTTATATTTGCTTCTCTAGCCTTCGAAACTGCTTTATTCAATGATTATCTGGAATGTGAAAGGAGTTGCGACAAACCTAGAACTGTCACCCGACTCTGCAGTGCCCCTCAGCTTTAGCTTTCTAGCATCTTTCAACTTTTGGTCTTATGTAGCTTAACTGTTATGATTTAATCTGACCACTCTCATCAAGCTGATTTTAAACTGCAGCAGGTAGGATGAACTGGCTTCCAGTTACCTGACCAGCACCAAACAGTTGACAGATAAATTTACCAAACTGGTCAACATTGGGGCTGCAAGGTGGCTCAGTGGTTCGCACCGTTGCCTCGCAGCAAGAAGGTTGCCGGTTCCCGTCCCAGTGAGGACACTGGGATCTTTCTGCATGGAGTTTGCATATTCTCCCCATGCAGCATGGGTTCTCTCTGGGTTCTCTGGCTTCCTCCCACAAGGTCCAAAAACATGTTGAGGTTAATTGGTGATTCTAAATTGTCCGTAGGTGTGAATGTGAGTGTGCTTGGTTGTCTGTCTCTCAGTGTAGCCCTGTGATAGACTGGCGACCTGTCCAGGGTGTCCCCTGCCTTCGCTCTAAGTCAGCTAGGATAGGCTCTAGCCCCCTGCGACCTGAGTGCAGATTAAGTGTGTATAGATAATGGATGGGTGGATGGGCAACATTGTGGAGCATTTACTAGCTTAGGAAACAAATAAAGTTTCCTTCAACACTGGCGCCATAACGTAATATACAGTATCTTACTGTTTACAGTGTTTTCCCCAAGTGGCTGAACGAGATGTGGTCCATTAGGAGTAAGGACAGCTAATGTCTACACACCGGGGACAATCATTCACATGAAACAAGCAAATCATTTACTACAATATACCTTGTTAAGATTTGATTGTACATTGTATAATTGCTTGACCATATGAAATTAATATTACCAAGTCAGTAATCGGGCAAAAATACAGTTGTGGATTGTATTAATTTTTCCTTTTTTGAGGTGATGCTATGGTCGCAAAGGAATGCGCAACATAGTTTCCATGATGGTGCTACAAAACCCTTAATCAGCAATCATTAGCAACCAGTAACGACATCAGTTACTGGGAAACGTTACTAATGATACAGTTTCCATGTCAAAATCCTAATTTCAGTATGTTTAAATTGTACAACTATTAAAATTTCAGCATTTTTCTGATGTATTCTGATCCAGCAGTAACTTAACAGGATGCCACATTTCCACTACAGCTACAACAAAGTTTAATGACAATATTTTTTAATCTGTATGTAACATTTGATTCATGATTTGTTGTCAGGCTACAATTCAAACAGAGGACTTATTTAAACTTCATTTTTTTAAAACTGAGATTTAACAGTCAAATGAAGACAAACCATAGAGTGCAGATAGATATGAAGGTCTTCATTTAATAAATGAGAATACAATGTTGGCATGATGTGCTCAAAAGTACATTGGCAGATATAGCTTCTACCTTAATGTAAAAAAAAACAACAAAAAAAACACTCCTGTGCTCTTTTGCCAGGATAACTTCTCTCATAATGCAAGATGGGAAACATACTCATTTGTTGGAATGCAAACAGCTATCCAGTAGGATATATACCCAAGCAGGCTGACTTGAAGAAAGTCCAATACAGTACACTTCAGCACTTCATCACAAACTAGCTCCTGGAATGGAATGTGAAGCACTGGGACACTTTTCAAAGGTAAATGTTTCTTTTTATGGGAAACTTGACGAATGGGAAAATATCCTACACGCACAGCTCTGACCTACTTTTAATGCGAAGTTTAATCCAAAATCTAAAATACACCCCAAACTTTCAATATGTGAAAACTGCCTGAAGCAAGTTCATAAATACACAATGCTCTTATAATCACAAGGACAAAAGTACAAGAAAGTGCATACACACACAATCTTGCTTTGATCCCATCTGTGGAGCAGCTGAGTCTCCCCCAAAATGCTCTATATTCACCCTGCACCTGGAGACAGAGACGAGGATAGACAGAAAGAGGCAGAAATGTGGGGTGATGGAAAAAGAGAAAGTGATGGAAGATAGAGAGAGGACTCATAAAAGCACAAACCCAGCTCTCTCAGACTGTTTCATCTCACCCATTTACTTTCTTCATCCCCCTCTTTCATCCTTCTGTTGAGTTCTTCTTTTTGCATTTCTTTACATCTGTTGTGTCTTTCTGTCTGTTTCAATTACCTTCTGCATAAACTGTCTGTTTCTGTTGCAGGCTGCATTCTCAAAACTGCATCTTGGGACAAATGCAATTGTTGTAAATGTTTCTCATTCGGAACAGATTGTTTTAGTGTTGCGAGTTGGAACGATTCAGCCTCTTGCATGTGTCATTATGTCTGTTTTTATTCAACAAAAAACAGTTCACTGTAGACACCGTTTTTACATCTGGCTTCATGGGTTATATTTTTAATTTGGTAGTTTTTTTTAGAAAGTAAAATAGGATTTTTCTAATTGCTTTTGTCTGTATCCGAACTTGAATACCAAATAATTGAAATAGTGGCAATGATATCATCAGCAACTTGATGAACTGTTTGGCTTTGAGATAAAACTACCAGTGCAGGTAACAGAGAGCCCTAAACTGTACAACATGCAACAGACAAAGCACTCTTTTCTACTTTTAATGCAGATATTTGATGCTTGCCATCTGTTTTCTCTGAGCATGGGGCTGCTTTATTGACGTAGTTTACATTGACCTTAGGATAAAAGGAGGCATCTACTCAAGATGATGGCTAGGGGCTGAGATACAAACTTATGGAGACGAGAAGAGGAATAATGATTAGCTTTCAGTCATATTTAATTATTTTTGTTATTATTTATTATTTTCCATGTCTCATTTGTTTAAAATGGTTCTCTCTATGTTTTGCGTGTACTTGCTTTTCTCTCCTCTGCCTTTATCTCTCTTTTTCTCCATCTTTCTGTCTCTCACTAACATCCCCTCCCCTTACATTCCAGCGTTACCCTCTCCTCCTCCCACCTGACAAAGCCAGCATTGTATCGCAGATGCTGTTTAATATGGAGTCCCTCTCTCAGTGTCCCTCATATGGGGCAACTCATAAGGCTAAATAGGGTTATCTTCCTCCCTGCTCTTCACGTGCTCCGAGTGTGTGTGTAGTAATGCCTTCAACAAGATTTTATTTAGGCTAATATGTCCCTTATGTATGTATGCACACATAGCATGCTTTACATCTCTGTCCCACATAAGAAACTCCGAAATATCTCTGAGTGTGTGCAAGCATGTGACTCGAGTTGTGTCTGTGTCTGTGTGTGTGTACTTTAGTAAAATCTCTGAAAGCTGATTAACCCAACTTGACCTTTCACCCCTGCAAAAACACAACAAATACCCACCACACTGGAACTCTCTCACAGTCCTTTTGCCATTTTTTTTCTTTTTTCTATCATTCAACAAAGTGCAAGATCCTCACAGGAAAGAAAGTCCATTGTTATTGCAGCTGACTCAAAGGTGGAGGAAATCTAACTTGAATTTCTATCGAGGGTGTGTGTGTCTGTGGAAAAGCCCAGATTACTTTAACTGCCATATGCAGGGGATCAACTGATGTTTGGGTTTCCAAGGGGCCGGATATGACAGAGAGACACAGAGGGACAGTAGTTTGGTAGAGGGACATAACATAGTAATATAGCTCATGTGGGGAACTGAACTGTGACGGCTGGATAGAAAAGATAACAGAAGAAAGAAATTGAGTGTGTGGGTGAGTCAGGAGACAAAAAAAAAAGTGGGGGGTTGGGTGGATTGGATCAAAACACATATCTAGAAGGAAAAGAGATTAATAGTGAAGTGAAAACAAAAATTCCCCATGTTGCACCACTGGCCTCCAAACATAATATCATTCTGCACTAATGAAAATACAGGCCGTTACCTTCATAAATCAACATTACATGCAGCATCCCAAGTATTTAGCTATTAGACGATAAATGCTCCAGAAGCAGACAGTACCTTCAAATCAACTTCCACCTTTTCCAACTTTTTAAAACACATAAGTAGCACACACTCCACATGGCTGAAAATGTAGCATACACAAGATTTTTCAGTATGAGGTATAAGATACTGATAACAGTATTTGTGTCTTGCTTCCTTGTGACGGTATGGCATCCTCCTGGTTTCCACATCACGACCAACTTGACAGGTATAATGCTTTTAACACTGGCTCAGCACTCTGACGGCAGCATTGCTGTCATGAAACCACATATGGAAATTTAAACTTGGAGCAAGTTTGAATTTGACCAATATTTCTCATGTGACACTGTCTATGGCAGTTTTTCATGTATGTGTGTGTGTGTGTGTGTTGTTTTTTTTTTTGTAAAGTGATATAGATACATAGCTATCTGGTTTTAGTATTGTGGTTGGACACACCAAAGACCATAAGGATCTGCAGCTATAAAGCACAGCATACAACTTGTTTCCAGACACCGTAACTGATAGGACCACCTTCACATAACATAAACGCAGCATTGCATATTTCTTTGCTCAATGGGAAATCAAAAGTATATGTCAAGCCAGTTTAGATACACATGGTTTGATTTAATGCTCTTCTACATACACTACAGACAAACACAGGCCTACACTTCATCCATACTAATAAATCTGAGCTGCTGCTGAGTAGGAAGTGATCTGGCCCCTTCATCTTTCTTATGCATATTTGCTGATTTCAAAGTTAGGCTAAGGTCAAGTAAGAATTATGTTGTGTTCAGTGACTCCATAAAACAGATTTGGATTTCTCATCTGACTCATGAATCAAAGAATCTCTTTCAAACTTACAATATCCTACATTCCATTCATAATCAGTCAAAGCACAACTCTGATTTGGTCTGTTACAGGCCTCATAACATCTCTGTGTAATCTCTACTCACTTCTTCAGGTATTTTTGTAATTGTGAGCAATAGTATATTTAAAAAAAACCTAACACATCAGCAGCCTTGTCTTTATTTATTTTTTTTTTTTATTATCATTAAATGATCATGCACAAAACGCCACGATTTCTGCTGTGACTATTTTTTTTAATCTGCTGCTCAGAAACAAACAAAACTTTCCCTGTATTTAATTCTCTGTGGACAAAATCTGTAATTAAAGCCGGATTAGATTACAGCTCACTTAAGAAGCAAAGACTGTAGCTCACTGCGATCTGGATTAGACATAGTGGACACACCGAAAGAATTTAAGAGAACTTCCAAATTTAGAAAAACACATTAGGATTTTTTCTTTTTTTTTTTAAAGTCTTAGGTACAAACTTGCTTACCATTATTGAAGCGGGACTGGCCACTTCTGTCATCATGCAGAAAAGGGCGCAATTACGCAGCGGCTCCAAAATCGAGAATTGTGTCCTCTGACCAAACTCCCCCAAAATATTGTGCTATTTCTGCCTTTGTTGTGATCACAGTCTCTGTCTTGACAGCGGATACATTCCCCGTGCAGCATGGGCAACCTGTGGATGTCTAGGAAAGACTTGTAATCCTGTGTCACATTTACGCACACCAGCGCACACTCCAAACATACACAAGCGTAAAAAAAGCCGGCGGCTCCAGCCAATCGCGACGTGTAAAGGAATGCAACAACAGCTGGAAGTAGAACTGTAGCGGGAACAAGGGGAGGGAGTCTCTCTCTCTCTCTCTCTCTCTCTCTCTCTCTCTCTCTCTCTCTGTCTCTCTCTGTGCTTCTTTCACTTTGGCCTACTCACACACACAGCATAATGTGCAGGTGTTAACAGACCTACACTTGACCTCTCATCATAAATGGTTCAAAGAGAAAAGCCTTCAAACTGACAAAGACAGAGAGACAAGGGGAGAGGAGAGAAAGGGAGAGAAAGAAAGAAAAAGAGAGAAAAAGAGGGATAGACAGACAGGGCATTCTTTCAGACCTACTTGGCAGCTGATGATAAGAAACAACCATGAGAAGCATGTTTAACTAATGATATTACAACAGCATTGCAGTCTAGCCTCCCTTGGAAGGACACAATCCAGTCCTGGTATGTAAGTTTTGATTAGAGATAGATCCAGACTGGTGTACAAATAGAGTTAAATCATGCAACTGGCAATGGGAACATTAAAAGGGTTAGAAAATTAAAGCAGAGAGGCCAGCTTTCCTTTGCAACACGAGACTATAATTCCATTTAGAGAGTAACAGGCCTGTTACAATAAAGTCAATCCAAAGCCCACTATAAGGAGTCACACTTCAACGATTATTTCATTATCATCTTGTAGTGAACGTGAGTGGATTAATCTCATTTAGAAAATCTTTAAAGAATAGGTTAAAATCTGGAATAGAAGTAAATTCGGAGGGGGGCACATTCTCCAGTCAAGTGAAAATGATGTGACTTTTAATTCCATCATAAATTGCCACAGGAGGAGCATTTTTCTTGTGTGTAACCAAAACCCCTGGCATACCTCAGGGGCACAGGTGCAAGACAGATTCAATGTGAACGCCCCTCACGACAGGAACACACCAAGCAGCCCGAGAGAATGTGAAGTTAATGAACCGAGCAGCATCGACATTTTAACAAACATGTATTGGTTTCTTCCCTGGCAACACATTGTTAAAGTGCTTTATGTAAAATGTAAAAGAATATTAATATTCTTTGATTATCTGGCCTATGCAGCATGACACACGGAGAACTGTGTAAGCAGTGAATGGCTGCTCTTTGCATGTTATGTGCACCATTTGAAAAATCTCGGCTGCATGTCGAGTCATGCTTCGGTCTGAAGACACCATGAGGTATGAATAGATGCCATCAGGTCTGTATCAGAAGCAGGCGGCGTTATTTGGCAGTGTTTTCAGCATTCTTCACAGTTCACAACAGAAATTACATAAAGCAAACAGCATGGTTATTCAGAGCCATAATATAACTGAAGTCGTGCAGAACGTTGTTTGGGCTGTGCACATGAACCAGCTGGAACGTAATGCATGAAGTGTTTTTATGGTTGGAAAATGATAAACGTAGTTCTGAAAATGGTCCTCTGGTTAGGACTGAGGTCAAGGGTTTGCCTGCAAACACAAACACAAACGCTCAAAAGCGCACGCCGACATATGCATATCTATGGAAGCAGCATTGTCTTATCTCTCACAGAGCGGATCCCTTTATGGATAAACAGGAAGAGAGCTTGGGCACCCAGCCCTGCTCCACTTTCTCCTCTGCTCTTTAGCACTCCATGACACCTGGTATGTGTAGACATCCTAAAACAAACTATGTAATCACACTAAATCATAAATATCACAGCAACGCATACTCTTAAGTGTGAATCTTCAACTTACACAAAGCTTACAAACCCACTCCAAACACTTAAGTTTGGCTAGAAGCAGATGAGATGCAATTAGGCCGGACCCAAAGTAGAATATGTGTATCAAAAAAAACAAAATAAAAAATAAAATCAGTCTTTATCAATGCTATCAACTAATGCGAAACAAGTTCTCATCTTGAGGAATTCATCAATTTTGCCTTTACTCATGGCCATATGGCTTGCTCATTTATAGTCTTGACTCCATATTTAAGAGGCATCTTTGGAAAGGCTTTAAAGGGGCATATGCTATCAGGATAATACTGCCTGAAAATTGTCTCGCAGTTCCTTTTAACTTTCTTTCTTGTCAAGTGTTTCCAGAAGCTATTAAGCGATTATGTCTCCATGGTTGCTTGCGAGCAATGAGAGCTGCAGAGTTTTCCCAGTGACATCATCCCAGAGCCAGTGGTCTTTGAGAGGGCCGGCGAATGTTTGACAGCATTCCCAAATTAATTCCACAATTCCCATGTGACTCCAGGAGGCTGAGCAGGAACTCTGGAGCTCTTTGGGAAGGGATTCCACTTGGCGTTGGAAGAACCTGACCCGAGAGACCGTTTTCATTAAGACAAATTGTCCAACTATCCTTTTGATAGCCATTGCATGTGTGCCAATTTTTTTTTTTCTTTGAAGCACTTTTTTTTTTTTTTCAAATCTACAAAAAAAAAAAAACTTTTCTAACAGTAGACCACTTACCAGCAACATTTTCAATTGAAACCACTACAGAGGGAATTATTTTTGATTATCTGACAGCTAATTTAATCACAGTGGAATCTCCAGTATCATCATTGCTTTGAGGATTTCGGCGGGTAGAACTATTTAAACCACATGCTTTTCATGACACCTTAACGACGGATAATTGAATGTAGCTGAGTCTGTCTTTGTGGCTTGAGGCAGAAGTACATTTTCACCAGTTTTGCTGTGATCTCCTGCACTGCCTCAACACATGATTAGTAAAGTCTTTCTCCCTTATTACTCATATTCAGTCAGAGGTAGGAGAGTCATAAGATATAGTGTCGGTTGTTTTTACAGCTGGTCATCGTGGTCTAAAAGAGAACACTAACAAATCTGTGTGTAATGGATGTTAGTGACCTGGTCAGCTCTGGTAACTGACATCACTTCACACCACGGATATAGCAGAGATTTAATGAACTGAAGCCCGGTTTGCTCATCAGTTTAGTGTCAAACCACCACTTGAGGCTGAGATAAATGGTTTTCCCAAAATAGTCTCATGTCTTTATTTTACACAAACAAATCATGCAACTCAAATTTAAGCCTAACAATATTTCTGGGGCTGAAATGCCAACATATTTTGTTATTGCAGACTGGAAACTGCACCATGTTTTGACCACAATGGAGTCTGCTACTGACTCATGTGGCAAAAAGGTTTCCACTGGACTGTTTGTTATAACTTGTGGTGCCAGTTGGGAGGGGACTGAAGTGTTGAATTTGGTAAGAGGGAAATGACATAATGACAAATGATGGGATATAAATACTTAAAGAACCAGTATCCAGTGTTACGTAGATGAACTTTAGAGCAAAAATAGTTTTGCAGATTGTTTGCAGAAAAATTAAATCTGTAATCCAATGTGCACAGAAACTAAAGCACTTTTATTACTTTAGGACAAAATTTAAAAGATCATGCTTGACTTGTAATCTTCTCCTTTGAAACCTGGGAAGCCAGCGGGGATACAGTGCAGTGAAAGACACAGGGAGAGAGAGAAAAAAAAAAGAGAGGACCAATGCAAACAACAGAGGAATGCTCTCAGTCCGAGCTGCTGTTCTCTGCTCTCCCACTTGCCTGCCGTGGTATGTGTAATTACTGCACAATTAAAGTGCCTGTGCTTGTGTATGTGTGTGTGTGAGCGTGTGGACCTCGCGGTGTTTGGTGACCACACTCAACCTTGTCAACAATGTGGCCTGGACAGAACAGGCGATTTCACACGTGTGAGTCAGGGAGTGAAAAAAGAAAGGGCAAAGCTGATACAATGAAAAAAACAACAACTTTTATTCCCTTGTAGATGATACAGCTGCTTCGTCCACTTGTCACAGCTCAAGTGAAATAGCTTTCTAAGTGAATTCTTCTCTTTTTTGCTCCTCGTCAACCGGAGTCTGTAATCTTTCTTCGCCTTCCTTCTAAGTCTGTTTTTTGTTTTTGCTCCTTCTTTTCTCTGAGTTGAGTAAATCACTTCTCCTCTGCTATCTCGCTCTTCTCTTTCCCTTCTTTGACCACAAGAATGCAGGGTGGCTGTCACTGCGCTACAGTCTATGTCATGCGTAGTAATCAGTGGGCCCGCAAGGCACACACACAGTGCAACACACACTGATGCAGACACTAAGACACACATGCAAAATGTTTCAGACAACAATACTTGGTCATTTTCTTTCATCACTAGTCTACTTTAAGTATATATGTTCTGTTTTATGACTCCACTTACACTGTGCAGGGTCATATATTCTGACTTCGCTTTGCATTTCCCCCCAACATACCTTTAACAGGAGTTTCTATTTCTGCATCTCTAAACAGTGGAAGTGTAAAATACCAAGCAAAAAATACTACAAACATAAACATTTATAGCTGTGTATTCATATGGGTGCATGTGTTTTATGAGATTTTGTGGCACTAGCTCCCTGCATTTTTGGCTTTCCTCCCTCTGCAATCCCCACCCTAAAGGTGGCACTGTCTGCATCTCTTGTTAAATATCATACGTGTTGAGACAGCGTTGGTACAGTGGGCTCCTGTTTCACAATAAATTACTTGAGGAACAAAAATACCCAGAAAAACTGCAGCCTGAATTTCTTCCTCAGGTTCATTTCATTACTGGAAAAACACCAAGTGCGCAGTTAAAAAGCCAACTTTAGCTCACTGGCCAGGTGTCAACAATTATTAGTGTGCCTGAAATACAATGCAAACAAATTCTGTTGCCATCTTGTTGGGCAATTTCTTGCACAGATTGCCTACTTTTTTTTTAGTTGCTGGCCTCTAAACAAAAAACGTGTCCCAATAGCTTCATCCCAGTATATCATCTTCCCATGCTGATTCCAAAAATACCTCTAACACAGAAAGCATTTCAACAATTAGCTCTTGTCATAGTTACAAAAACTAAATAATGGAATCAAAACATTAGAAAATAAAGGTAGCAAATGCAACAGCTGTAATATCAGTATCAAAAATTGGAAATAAAAGTCTAAAACTGCCCCTAAAGAATCTGAGATGTAAAACCTTGAAAGTTAAATTCCTGAATCATCCAGGTAACAGGTATAGTAGCTATAAACCCAATGACCTGTGTTGCAGTCCAGTTTCATTGCTAACTGTGTATGTTGTCCCCTAAGAAAGGAATGTAGGGAAAAGGAATATGCAGCCTTATGAAAAAGGCAAAAAAATACATCTTTTCCTCTTTTGGACTCTGTTCATAGCAAAGCATTGGGGCCGAGAGAGTCAGCGACAACCGAAACTGACTGGAAATTACCTGAGTTCCCGGAAGTTTTAAAGGCTTTGTGTCAGAGGTCAAAAACAGTATCCCTGCTTATGCTACATGTTGAGAGCCCTTTAGAAAGACAATGAGACCCTAAAAAATATTGTTCAAGTCATTATTAGAATAGATTATTATTAAAGCTAACTTCTTCCATAAAAGGTGGAGAAATCTGCCACCAGACTTCCAACCATCCCAACACTGTGGGCCAGCACACCTTGGTCCAGTTGTGAAAACACGTGTCATCTTGGGTTGCGGTCCTTTTCGGACAGCAGCAGGTTGTTCAGCTTGATGACAATGTTGGCAAAGTCAGTGAGCTCCACAAAGTCAGAGGTGATGATGTTGACTCCGTCCACGCCTGGTCTCTGAGCTGCAACCCAGGACATGATGGTTGGCAGGTTTCTAGAGGGACAGAAAAAAGAAGAAAGTTTGTATATAAATGCAGCTCACACCAGACTTTGTTATCCTTCTTGCCGTTTGAATTTTAATCCAAACTGATCCCCTGACCGTACGAACATACTTATGCCATATACGAAAATGTCCAGTGCCAAGTTTATGTCTCTGTAAGTTTTATTGTTGTGGCTATAACACTGCCAAAGTTTAATCAGTTGTTCCTTGGCTGGATGTTTGTCTGCGTCTGTTGCAAAGCTGTTGAAGGGGTTTTGAGATATATGTCACAATGCGGGGAAAAAATGGACCTAATGGAAGAAAACAAAAGGGATGTTTGTGTCTGTCAACGAGAGGCTACTTTTGTCTCAGAACCACTGCTTTGCTTTTAGATTTTCTGTTTTGGTTCATGGCACACACACATGCACACACACACACACACACTCACACTCACACTCACACACACATACACAGAAGGAAACTGTAACTGTATCACTTCTAACACTGTTAACTTCTCAGCCATATTTCAGCCACCAGCAGAACAAAACCAGGAAACCAGAATGTTTATCCAGCGGTGATAAACAATCCCCATTTCCTCGGAAGTGCAAAATTAGGCCACCTCCTGTCTCGCCACAGTGTCAGTTCAAGAGTCTCAGACCCCAAAAACTGCTGGCTGGTTCCCGCACATCTAAAAGCACGGAGAGTATGTACTCTAAGTCAGGATTTCCACTGTCATTTCCACTTAAATCTCAGGCTCAACGGGCCACATGAATGCAAAGGTTTGTGAAAATCATTCAGTCCTTGCTTAGGAAAAATAAGATTCCTTATCTGGGTTAGGAAATGTGCTGCCCTTTGATACTCTGCAGTTTGGATTAGAATTATTGCTGAATAAACTAGTAGATAAGCCAAAAATACAGATATTTTATACAAATACAGATTACACAGACTAAATAGATACATTTGTACAATCATACAATACTAATCACACTGGCTTTCTTACTACTTACCACTGTTTTATAAGATGTGGTTTCAGTTTAAAGAAATGTTAGTGGTGATGTAATTACAGCATTTGCTGCAATGTGGTGTATTTTCAGAATCTCTTCATTTTCTGTTTGTCAAGGGCATGTGCGGAGCCGCCGATCCTCTTTGTTCCACCCATAACGTGAGCAGCATTTACTGCAATGCCCTCTACTGGCCACAGTCTACAGTAAATAAATAAAGCTGAGTAATAAAGAAGAGGAAAGATTTTTGAACACTTGATTCCTTGAAACGAGAGCTTCCCTCTGGTATGTTGAATTCCCTAGTAAAAGCAACAAATGTGTTTCTTTGCTGCATAAGTCCAAAAACCACTCCACCCCATCACTCATTCATTCACCTGCCAAAACACAGTCACTGACCTCTCTACCAGGTAGTTGCGTAGCCCCCAGACCAAGCCTTTGGCCACAGTGTTGACCCTGGGTGTGAGGATGGCCTGGGACACATGGAAGGATCCCTGCTTGGCTCTTTCCTTCAGTGTAGTTTCCAAGAACTACACAGGAGAATGTCGATTAGAGGAAATCTACGTAGCCCCTTAATGTGAGAGATTGGGTCAGGTAGCTTATGTAAGAATATTGTACACATGTAAAGAAGAAACACTTCTTGCTGAGGTTAGTGGAGTAGGAAGCTAAAGGATAAAGGGGCACCAAAGTGGAGGAGGAGAGGACAGGTTAGCTGAGGATGATGACAAGTTGGAGAAGAAAAATGGAAATGCTCATTTATTGCAGCTTGAACCCACAAAGTAATATTCAGTTCCATTTTATTTATATAACACCAACTCACAACATGTGTAATCTCATAGTACTTCACACACTAAAGTAAAAATCTTACAAATTTTAAACAGAGAAACCCAACAAAGCCAGAGTTTCCTTTGGATCCCCTTTGAGCAAGCGATGGTGGGAAGGAACAAAAAAACTCCAATTTACCGGTAAGGACAAAAAGAAAAAAGGAAAAAAATGTAGACAGAACCAAGCTCAAGGAAGGCGGTCATCTGCCTCCACCGGTTGGGATGAGGTTCAGGATTGGAGATGGGGGATAGCCCTAACTTTGTTTCACGTATGGTACTAACATGCATCTCGGGGGATCTGAACATAAGTGGAGAGCTGTAAGGACATCAATTTACACCTAACTAGAATACACCCTTAAATGACCAGTTGTGATAGCGCTTCCCTGCTCTCCATGCAAATTTCACTCATTGCATATATCACTTTTATTTGCAAAGACCAACTGCCTTGTTCTTTCTAACTGGTGAGAGACACTAATGCACTTCCTGTACCTACTCTACTGGAAATTAAAAGAAGAAAAAAAATCACTTTTTTGCCGATTGAAGCACCTTAAAATGATGCTGCTGGCATGCGTATTAGCATGTACTTTGATAATGTAGAGGGTGTTGAGTAGGCCATCCTTTAGTGTAGCCCAGGACACATTTGCGTTATACTGCTAATAGAATGCGTCCATGTGTAGAAGACCTACGAATGTATTCTGAGCAACAGGATCTCAACGCGTCCACAATGTGTCTCGGGTGCATTCACACCTGCTGTCCCCTTGTAACCGGATAACCCATGATGCCTGTTAACGGCAGGTGTGAACAGGGTCTTTAATTTAATTTTGCCCTGAAGCATTTGAAGGAAAACACGCATGGGGAAACACAGAAAGGGTTGGTCGTCTTCTGACCTGTATGAGCTTGTTGGGCTCAGTGGTGTTCGCCCAGGGAGCGGGGATCTTGTTGCCAGGCCACATGACAGGGATTGCCTGTCCTGAAGGATGATGATAGAACACGATGACCTGCGGAGGGAAGGAAATGAAAGATGGTTGGAGACTGCTTGGAGTTTAAAAGTCTAAGTCCAGCTGTTGTGAAGAAAACAAAAATGTACATTAAAAACAAGAAACATAACATGATGCAACACTTGATTTTAATCTTTCAATATCTGCATGCATCGATCATATAAACATACATCTAACCAGAGCACTGTTCATCCACAGTGATTTAGCAGTGAGACAATATGAATACAGGTGTCTCAGCAAACAGAACAAAGAGGAAGGCTGCCCTCTGCAGCTACTAACTGTGCACTTCTTGTTCTTCTTCTGCTCCCTCTACTCTGTTCTGTTCCTCTCCTCTGTATCTGTTCTACACTCTCGCTCTCCTTCTCCTTTGCCAAGTAAGCCAGTCACAGATTAGGGTCATGGGAACAGGAATGATAGCATTCGAAGGAGACACAGACGCACATACTATAGCAATGTAAGGCAGACATGATGGCATTCACACCTAAAACGGGCACTTATACTGTATACATGCAGGCGCAGACATGTGGTTGCTGAGCTCTCATTTTTATTTGTCTGTGTAGCATGTGTATGGCAAAAAAGAAAGAATTAAATTGTGAGTGTGTCTGAGAGTGTGAGATGACAACTATGGAATGCTAAGAGTTGTGAAATATGGTACAGAAAGGAGGCTTTATCTGAAGGGAAGTGGAAACAATTGTAGGTAAGACAAAGAGAGATGTAAAGGCTAAATGCACTGAGAGGAGAAAGGCTGGTTGATGGTGGAAAGAGTGTTAATGGGATGATGGTCAGCAGTAATTCCTGCCCGGGAGAGTCACAGGTGGCAGGGATTACCTGAACACAAAGGTTACAGTAAGTGAGCTGTCCACTTCATGTACACCCACATACCACTTTTACTTGCAGTAAATATTCCCATGCATTCACACACACATGCACAAAAGCACAATCAGTAGAGAACGTCCTTCCAGCCACTCGACTTTAAATTGTGTTATTACAGTGCCATTACCCACGTAGAAAAACATGTTTGTTGAAACGTTTCCCTGCTTCATCCTGACCTCACCTGGTATTTCTTCTCCCAGAGGTAGTCCAGAGTGATGTTCTCCACAGAACAGTTGCTGCACAGCTTGCCGCCAAACACTTCCTGCAGCATGCTGAGGAGGTACACATGGTGCTCTGCCTCCATTGCATAGTAATGGTTGAAGTCCAGAAACACCACCTAAATCAGTCAAACATAAACTTTTGTCTGTTTGTAGCGTACAGTAGTATAGTAGCTATCTGCAGCATATATTGATATGTTTCACATGTTGCTACACTTAAATGTGCTTCTCACCTCTTTCCTGTGTTTGTTTAGGAAGGAGTTGATTTCTAACAAGCCGTCCCTCACCTTGGGAGGAAAGCAGAGTGAAAAATAAAGCTTAGGGTCTATTAGTCATGCATAAATTGTTTTGGTCACAATTTTAGAGCTCCAAAACTCCCCTCAATGCTTTATTTTCTATAGAAAGCAAAACACAACCAGACTAAATCACAAAATAAAGGTTAAGGTAAAGTCAAATATCAACTACGCAGGCTTTTAAAAAGCCTCTACAGTCTTTGATTTAGCCCCTAAAAACTCATCTCCTTCTATCAAAATTACATATTCAGAAACGTTTCCATGAAATAAGTCATTTCAGCTTTAAAACCTGGTAGATGTAACTCTACACTACTCCTTCTTTAAGAATATGCAGATCTATGAAGTTTCTGCCTCTCTGTCTATGCGTCCATCTCCACCCAATGCAGCTCAAGCACACCAGCTCACCCACTGTAAAACTACTCTGGTCTAAACCACACAGGGGCAAGTTGTAATATTGGAGGAACTAAGTCATGCATGCTTGAACCTGAAACCGATTCTGATGAAGAATGAGGACACAGAAAGTTCAGCCCTGCAAGCTGACAGGATTTGTTCCTTTGGAGTGTTCCATATGAAAGAGCAAACGTTCTAATGTTTCTGAGAACGTCATTGTTACACTGCAGTGTCATGGTGCAAATGCTCAGTTCATGATTACCTCACTTATGATGTAATTTTGAGTAAAAACACCATTTGGACATGTTAACGAGGGGAAAAAAAAGAAAAGAATAAAGGTTTTTCCTGGATTCACAACTGTCCCCTCCATCAGCCAAGATGTCATATGTTTTTTTGTCTAATATCTTACAGCTACAAGACCATCTGATGACACAATCCTTGTGACAAAACAGCACAACACATCAGGCACAGGCACATGTCCCATGACCCATTTCAGCAGAGGGATGTTTACAACTAAACACACAACCTTTGATCCCTGAGCTCATCCTCATCACACCACACAACACAACAACATCAAGTGGAAACACAACACAATGCTAAAAGGCAGCATTTACTCTTCGTACTGGGACAAAATTTAGGGAACACATCAAAACTAGCTGAAAGACTTGAAGCAACAGTCATTTTTTGTAACATTTCAGGGGTGAATTCATCTGATCCGCAAAGGGAAAATACCAGACTGTTTTAGAATAAAATAAAAAAATATGATAGTTAGTGGACCACATAACAGGAAAGACAGTCACCATGACAACCATTTAAATGTCCATAAATGTGGACACCTGCACTCACCTTGTGTCCAAAAAGGCCATGAATAAAGTAGATCTCATTTCCAGTCTCCCCTGGTTTGGAGGACACCCTGAGATCAAAGTAGCGAATTCCTGCATCCAGCTGCTCCATAAAAGTCAGATTCTGGGAATATACATCATACCACATTATACATTAAAGCTGGCTGCAAAACCCCAGACTATAAAACACAGACTTTCAAATCTTTTTCCAAAATATGTCACATTATACATCATGTGGCTGGGTTTGTGGGCTGCAGTAATTTGAGAGCAGTACCTGTGTCATGGACCACTTCACCATGACCTTCTTGGCTAAGACACTGAACATGGTGGCCAGGTACTTAACATAAACCTTCTGATCAGGTCCCACGGGAGCATGCACATCCACCCAGTAGGTGAAAGAATCATGAGACCCTGGAAAAGAGGCAGCGGATGATGAACACTTAAACCGGAGTGGAAGTAATGCTTTTAGAAACAGGTGAGACAAAACGTCAGAGCAAAGATTTCTGGATGTTGCTGGATCAATGTATGCTGGACACGGAGGGGCTTAACCATAATGGACAATTATTGGTCTAGCTGTGGTGCTGAAAGACTTCTGCCTTCAGACAGTTTGGCAAACATCAGCTTTTCCCCTTTGTCCATTGTAATCTGTTTTCATCTTAAACAATATGACTTTTTACAATCTATCCTATCAAACTTTCAAAGTGTGAAATCAAACATCTTTACGCGCGACTGGCTCACCTGGCACGGCGAGGTGTTTGAGGGGCATGGCACTGAGCTTGGAGGGAAGCGAACCCATCCAGTCGGCATTGACATTGCCGATCCCCGCCGGTCTCGTCTTCATGTCAGGAACAAGTGCCCGCCAACAAGCCCCTCAGGAAACCGCTCTCTGGCACAGAAGCATTTGATGACGGATTCCCGTGCGCTTCCAGCAGGTCAAAACTACCTCGGGTCATCTTGGAACGGCACGAAGGATTTTAGTAAAAGATCCACATCTACAAAAATGCTCTGAAGTTCAAGCATCAGATCAAGTGTGACTCCCTTTCTTCGCCCAGTTTTTTGGAAGGCTGCTGCACAGCGTCACGGTGCGGACTTGTAGTCTGTTGAAACTAGGCATCCGGTGACAAGACGGCGAGGTAGCGACGGTGATAATCCTCTTAGAGGGAAATTCCATTTGCGCCCCCCCCCACTTCGTGGCTTAACCTGCGTTAAGCGAAGACCACCCCGCTGGACACACAAACGCATTAGCGCACTTACTGACAGAAAGATGAGATTGACTTGAAGGTTAGTGTAGGATAAATGCCAATATAGCAGTAATCAGCTCATATGGATCACCAATCAAAACTATAGTGTGTGTTCACGTGTAAATAGTCTTATAGATAGTCAATTAACATTTGAAATTACATTTGATGTGTCTTCGCAGGTGTCTTTTGATTCACTTGTGTTGTGCACAAATGCACAAAACTTTGTGTGGTGAAAGCAAAAGAGTAATGCTATAATAATGTTATTGATGTTTGGGCTTTATGCCTTTGATATGTCTAATATCCATGTTCAGACATGATTTACATTTGGGTTTTATAAACAAAATAAAGAAACAACCATTATTGCAATCTTCAAAAAGAAAATAGTATTACAACAGATAGCCAGTCAGGCCGACAGAAAGAAGAACAGAAAAGAAAAATGTGGAGAATTAGAGTTTGAAAAGATAGCAGATGCACAATGCAAAATACAGAATTTCTATATTAATAAATTAATAGGGAAAAAACACCAATTGATACAAATAAAATAGCAAAAGCACCATAAAAGGTCATAGCACGGTATTAAAAGAAGAGTAAAGATAGCAAAAGAGACAACATCACATACATAAGCAAGTCTATAAAATTCGGCTTAAAGAAGTGATTTAAAAGAACACACTGATTTCAAAGCCTTACTTCACAAGGTAGGTTATTGTGATTATTAAAATCTTAAAATCAATTCTTAAAATGAACAGGGAGCCAGTGGAGAGAGGGTGATACGATGTTATCTGTTCATAAGAAGTAAGAAGCCTATAATCTTTGAAACATAAGTCATATTGATGCATTAACAACATTTCAGCTACAATGTTAGGGCTCCAGCCACTTTTAGATAAGTGGAAAACTGCATTATGTGAGTTGAATTGTTCCTTTAAAACTGTTTAACCCTGTGCATAAAAATGGACTAGTTATAATGTGGGACATACAGCATGTAAAATTGATTTCTTCATGACTGTTTGACCCAGATACAGACAGTTGTATAGGAAGCAGGTAATTCGCTTTTGGCAGAGGAGCACGACCTGTGTGAATAAACACAATCATGCAGCTCCATCTGTTGGTGCAGACCTTCAATTACAACTGTGTGCAGAGAGATGGTGTAAAAGTAGAAACATCAACATCCTACTCTGTCACTCTTTTTGTGATCAAGAACATTCGATTTGCGAATACTGTGGAGAAACTGAAGCTGCTTGAGTGTAAAATTAAAAAAAATAAAATAAAAAAAATCATATTTGTAGTTTATGGTTCTAACTTAATATTACTAACATTTAAGATAATTTCGAGGGGGAAAACTAACCTTCCTCCTAGGCTGTATTTTGACAAGAGCACAGAGGAGACATCTATTTATGTAAACTAATAAAATTCTAAACGTAAAAAGCAAAATATCCGTAGTATGTAGAGTCCCTTTTTTGTTGGTAAAAACTGTGACACTTGGAAAATGGTGTACATGCTGATTCCAGGTTTATATACTTGTTGTAAAATAAATTCAGCTTTGATTGATCCCATTACCTTCAAATTTACTGACATCTTTAATCCTTGGGGTCAATTTGACCAAATGAAACGTCCAGAAAATAATCAGAATTCAAAAAATGTACCCAAGTTTATGTGTAAATAGCCCTTTCAATAAATCTGAAGAAATTATGTCAGTCACTTATTTAGAGACATTAAACATTGAATGGGGCCAAATTGACCCTAAAGATAACAGGAGGATTAAAATGGTAATATGGACATCATTTCAAACTTTAACTTAATTAACCCTCAATTACTTCCAGCGAACATTTCTGTAGTCATGCGCATCTCCTCTAAGGACAACAAGTCCCACAAAGCTTTGCGGCCGCTCGTCACCTGGCAGCCGAGCCGGCGTTGCGTTTGTGTGTACGTTTCCATGGGGAGAAGTCACGCACACACACACGCACCTTATCGTGGTCGCTGGGTTTAGATAGTACGTGAGTTTTTATCTGAGGCTGTCAGCAGGCTCAGACAACGGCCGAGGAGAGGAACAACACCCCAAAGTAACCGGTGAGTTGTTTTTTTTTTTTTCGTTTGTTTTTTCTTTCAAAAATAAAAAGAGCAGAGCGAAACCCAGCAACAGGCCTGTTGTGTTCAGTGGCTGAGGAGCTAAGTTGTCAGAGCTTGACATGTCAGCAACAAATGTCAACTCTGTTTCTGATAAACTGTTACAGGTTTCTTATATTCTTCTGCAAAACTGTATTAGCTTTCGGCTGCTGTTTTAGTTCCATGCTGTAGCAGCTTAGTTAGTTGGGAGCTACTGAAAGCTGAGTTAAAAAATAATTTAATCAAGTGATCATGTTTGGAAGTCTTGATTAAATTCGCATGACTGTGTTTGTCAAGTCAGTGTCCACGTGTGTTTTCACCATAACTGACCTTGAATAGCTTCCTTAATGTCATGCGGCCTGGGTACATCTTAATTCCCTTTAAATCCCTCCACAACAGATTGCCATATGTGAGAGCTGAGTACAGGCCAGCAGTGCTCTGGCTGGCCTCTCCACTTTTCTTATTGTCTCACTGAGATGTATTTGTTTAGAGAATGTATTTCTAATTTGCTGTGGAAATAAAAAGATAAATGTAAATGCAGTGGGAAAAGAAAAAAAAAAAAGAATGGCAACTCTTTAAACATTTACATGATACCAATTTCTGCTGGTGATTCACTCAATAAGTGATTATCGGGAGTCACAAAGCTAAATCTGGTTTTGGGTATTCTTTTTGGACTTGTTCCCGGGCCCATTCAGGGAAATAAACACTAATCTGTTTTTCTTTGGCTGCCCTTAGCTCGCCTGCAACAGCATTTCCTCTAACCTAAACACAGCAGGTCAGCCCTCATGGAGACGAGCTCTTACCACTTCGCTAAAGTTACATGGAAATAGCTCACAGATGGAATTCAAATCCCAACTGCCTAATGCTAAAAATGATCAGGCGTATATCTCCTAAAATATTTGCGTGCATTTCATTATTATTTGCAGCCAATATGACCATTAACCCTTGCTTATCCAAGAAACACAAGATATTCTCTGACATATTTTTACTCTTGTTATGTCAGAGTGGACAAGCTGCTTGTCAGGTAAATCTTTCAGTTGCATACTTGGTGACTGTTGTTAAAGCAGCAACAGTGGTTGCTCTTTTTTGTGATTTGATGAGGGAACTGCAGTTTTCCAGCAATATTTCAGGCCCAGTCTCACTTTTGTAATGCTTCACTAGTATTTTCTAATAACAAACAACTTACAATTAATGTTCGTAGTGAATATACTAGTATATATTCAATGAGGAAGAACTCAAACGGCCAAGCAATTACCCCCTAGTAAAAATGATTCTGTGTGTGTTCTAAACAACTGTATACTGAATGTTTTAGCCTAATTTATGCTCAGTTTCTGGTTGATGTTTTTTCACCAACATTTCAGACTCACCATTTGAGGACACCAAGCAAGAATTATCTGTGCAAAAAGATAAACTGGGCTTAAAGGGTTTCAGGGAAGCTCCTCCGTCTACCTCATTCTCTGTAAGCTACTAGCTATTAGACATGTGGTTGCTGTCAGACTACCTGTGTGGATAAACTGCATCAAATTAAGGAACACGTTTAGAGCACGGGGTTGCAATCTAACAGCAGGTGGCTGTGCACTTGTTCCAAGAATAAAATACAGCATGTCAATGTAATCTAAGTATAGCAACTGTTTATTTACTTTGTTTCTGTCTGTATAATTCAGAAACTGTCCTTAGGGAGGTTTCCTTGGCATATCATCTAACACAACAGTGTGATCGCTACGGCCTGTGGCGTCAATCAAATCCTCTTGCCAGGCAAGGTGCTTGGGGAAGGTAGTAAGCATGATGGTGATGTAACATCCTATTTACATCCCTGTTGGCCTAATCTGCCTATGGCTGGCTCTGTCATCTCTCTTGGGTGGTCATGTTGGAGCCTCCTTGAGTCCTAGTGTGACACACGCCTAATCCTCCTCAGTGAGGGAAAAACAAGAATTGGTCTTAGCATTTCCTTGTCCTGTTAGTCCTGTTTTGTGGAGATTTTTGTGAGTAAAATGACTGCTTGCATTTGTGTGACCCGTTGCGTTTGTAATTGACATATACATGTCAGTTGCTGCTGCTGATTTTTCATTTCTTTACTGTCAGCTTCACTGCACCACCGAGATCCAACCTTCCTAACAATGGATCAGTTCGTGCAAGATGAACTCTGACCTCACCAGAATCGGTGAAGACTGGCCGACCAGAAATCTCTCCTTCTGGGGAAGAAGAACTGAACTCTACTGGAGAAGAGGCTGGCAAAACAAAGACTGAGCATTACTTCAGCTGAAGACAACACCGAGGACATTTGGTCAATGAATCAGCACAGTGCTTCGAGCACTCATCTCATGCGTAAGGAAAGCTAGAAACTGATGAAAGCGTCGTGAGAGATGATGAATCGCTACACCACCCTGAAGCAGCTTGGTGATGGCACCTACGGCAGTGTGCTGATGGGGAGAAGCAATGAGTCTGGAGAGCTTGTAGCCATCAAGAGGTGAGGATGTTGATTATGTCGTGAACTTTTTTTGTTTCACTTTAAAATGTAAATATTGCCTCTCCTTGTTAGAAACTTACAATATATTGATGCAATATCAATGATGTGGTCTTAGAATAGCGATAGTTATTATAATATTGGGAGAAGCTGAATGCTGTGATGCCTTCAGCCCTATCTTACACTAAATGTTTTTAGCAGCTGTAATAATCCCCCAAATAGCATTACATCATGAATTGCAAGAAGTTAGATAAAAATATGGAGAGAGTGCCAAACCTACTGTCTATTTACACATTTAGATAAGACTCTAATTACTATAAATCCAATTATTTTTGAAATTTTAAATGTACAAGGCCAAATCATTGCATTAACCCCTAAATGTAAACATGGCTACTCTCACCTCATCACAACTCACCCTTTTCTCTCTCTCTCTCTCTCTTTTTTTTTTTTTACCTTATGTTTGCAGCCACACTAAACAGTTTTACTAGCAGATACACTATAACACTAGAAACTTACACCCTGGATCGTTTACTTCAAGTTTCCTTCCATCACTAAGGCAAGGACACTAGCTTGCGCACCTTTGTTTCAGCAGCATGGTAGCACGCTTCAATAATAGATGAGAAACCGGGGAGATACGTCCACTGGTTGATCATTTGGTTACCATGCAAGACAATACAAGTGGTGACGGCGAAAGGCAGTGAAAGTAGAGGGGGGTGTGTCAGGTTGCTGACACCGTGGAAGAGACGAATGAAACTGGAAGGTGTCCAGAGTGAAGAGAAAGGATATCTACACATTCTGTAGCTCTTATGTAATTCCAGAGGGATGGAGAGGTAATGCGGATCAGAGCCGATAATCGTATACCAGCTGATGTGTCGTCTTAATACACGTGGCGACGCGCACCGCGATAAAAATGACAGATTGATACGTCAGCTGAGTCAAGATGTGTCTCTGGATGTAGGTCAAGTAGAGAAAAATCAATGATAAAGCCAGAACAGTTTAAAAAAACAATTCACATCACTACAATCTGCAGCTTTTGCACCTTTTTCTCATGTAATAATATGAGCTGAAATTGGAGACACGTCAAAAGAGCTGAATTATTGATGGAGACACACAAAGAAGTTTTGTAGACAATGACACTACTATATATTAAATGAAATATATGTGGCCTGTCTTCTTTTTCTTTAAAGTATAAGCATATCTGATGTATATTTTCCTTTATTTTTCATAGGATGAAGAGGAAGTTTTATTCATGGGAAGAATGTATGAACCTAAGAGAAGTAAAGGTAAGCATGGTGACATTCTTATACTTATAGGTTGTAGCTCATAGCAGCAGTATGATTTAGGAAATAATGCATGACACTTAGGCAGTTGTCCTTGCTTTCAAATGTGGGCAAAAAAGGGACATTTAAGTTGCACATGTGCACTTTACAGTGTGCGTTTAATCATCTGAAGCTTCTACATAATGAAATTTTACTGCATGAACTACTTTAATGTTCATATTATAAATTAAATGTCCGTAAGTGTGTTATTACATTTCATGTTTTTCTCACCTTCGCAATCATATGTCTCTGCAGTCACTGAAGAAGCTGAACCACGCGAATGTGGTGAAGCTAAAAGAGGTTATCAGAGAGAACGATCACCTCTACTTTGTCTTTGAGTACATGAAGGAGAACCTGTACCAGCTTATGAAGGACAGGTAAGAAGAAAAACAACACATTTTGCAATATAAATGTTTGCACAAGTTTAAAACAGTGGCTAGTTTTATATCATTATCAGAACAAGAGCACAATCAAAAGCTGCTCCGCTCAATCACAGACCTGTCATGGCCAATTTGCCAACAAAAGGTTTTAATGAAAACTGGTAAGTCTGTTTAGAGTCTCAGTTATTCAGGTCTTTGTAATCTTAGGAGATTCAGTAAAAAACAACTGGACTTCTCTTTTTGGGTCGAGAAGAAGTTTTACTTCTCATCCAAGAGGCTTCTTCAGTCCTAAAAGAGAAATCCAGCTGTTTTTTTTTTATTGAAGCTCCTAGAAAAACTAGTAAGGGCTTGTGATATGATTTGAATAATCAGATGGGATCAAATTGTTTCCAGTGGAATCATTTTTATTTCAGCCACTGCAACATGCTGTCAGAAGTTTGCACCTCCCCTGCGTTTGGATCTGTCTTGCAAACAGCTGCCACCACACTTTCCTTTTCCAGACTGTCACTTTCTCTCAGGGAGGCTCTGATGTTTTTGCTAGTGTAGAAATCCCAGGTGTGTACACATGCAGAGCACGACTGGGGTTTGTTGTCAAAGGCAAAAAAGCAGACAGCTGGCATTGTTTTAGAGCTGGTCAGATTAGTGGTTAAATATATTTTTATGTATGTGTACAAAGACAAAAAGAATGCTGTTCATGTAATGAAGCTTTCATTAGCTTGCTCATGAGAACTGTGTCAATTTTATGTTTACAGAAAAAAATTGTTCCCTGAATCAGTGATAAGAAACATAAGCTTTCAGATTTTACAAGGCCTGTCGTTTATTCATAAACATGGTAGGTGTACCGCATTTCCTTCATGTGTGTGTGGTTTCATACTGCAAGATTCACTGAGTTGTATCAAAGTAAAGCTGTTATTTAGGATCTGAATTCTACAAGCAAACTGTAAAGCCATGACACAGGAAATATAATCAGATGTCAGAATAGCTAGATTGGTTGTACAGCAACCAAATTCTTGCAGGATGTGAACCCTCCATAACTGGCTTGGTTTTACTCTCGTCTAACTCTCTGCTCTGCATTGCCACTGTATAACAAATGGATGTGTGGATGCCTCATATCAGTGCATGTAAGCTGAACTAAAAAAAGAGTTACTTTAATCCTGGCTATGATTGTGTTTGATCAGAAAACTACAAACTTGTGCATCACGTGTAAACACACACACTCCTCTGCTTCCACACATCCAAGCTGCATGTACTGATACTGACTTCTCTCTCTTAACACTTCTCTTTAATTTCTCCCCCCCTTCCTCCTTTTCCATCTCTTTGGTGTGCTGTTAGAGAGAATAAGATGTTCTCAGAGAATGAAATTAGGAACATCATGTTTCAAGTGCTATCTGGGTTGGCTTTTGTTCATAAGCATGGTAAGAGGCTTTACTCTGTCATTCTGTACTGGTTCAAGAAGTAGCAGAATCTTTAGCATGTTATTGTGGATGTATCTGATATTGTAACAAGTCAGTGTGACCCTCAAAAATATACTGCAAATGCAATTATGCTTTTTTTTATTGCTATATTCTAGATGTGTTCATGAATTTGCTTTGATATATTCTATAGCTATATTTCAGTTTTTCTGCACAATGCTGGCTATTGGAAGTGATGTTTTTCCCAGGTACAAAGAATTTGGCTTATATGGCACTGCTGCAACTACATTTACAGTTTTCCTGTCATGTGCAGCTATTTGGCATTAGTGAAATGCATTTTTGTATAATCTGATTACCTTTTTCTTTAACATGTCACACATAATGTTAATATTTAATGAAACTGCAAATTGCAATGCCATCGTGTGACAGCTGAAGTACTGTACACTCAAGGACCGGGCCCTGGTTGCCGTAAATAATGAAAATGTTGACGTGAAACATTTCAGCCTTGAACACACCGGCCTGTCACCGTTACAGGGGCTGTTGCAAATATATCCGTTCACAAGCAGTTCGAAGCAGTTGTGTATGGCTGTAGTTTGAGCAGAGTGCAATGAATATTAGTTAAAAGCCTGATATAAACTTTTGTACAGGTTTTTTCCATCGAGACATGAAGCCAGAAAATTTGTTGTGCATGGGTCCAGAACTGGTCAAAATAGCAGATTTTGGACTGGCCAGAGAGATTCGCTCCAAACCTCCCTACACAGACTATGTATCAACGAGATGGTGAGAGGGCTTCCTAAACATTGCGCTCATTTACAATTAAAAAAAGAAAGCCTAAACATCCACTGCCATGTGCTAAATTAAATGCTTTACGTTCTCTATGAAGGTACCGAGCTCCAGAGGTCCTGCTCAGGTCATCTACCTACAGCTCTCCTATTGACCTGTGGGCTGTGGGCTGCATCATGGCTGAACTGTACACACTCAGACCTCTTTTCCCGGGCAACAGTGAAGTCGACGAGATCTTTAAGATTTGCCAAGTCCTAGGAACTGTCAAAAAGGTGAGAAGAAACTGAATGGAGAGAGGAGGAAAAATGCCTGACCTCAGTTTAGGTGCTTAATCATTAATGCCTTGAACTTATCAGGTTCTGATATTCTTCATGACAAGTATGATGTTGAAATAAGTGAGTAAATAGTTTTCAAAGATGCCAGGACAAGTGTTTTTGTTCCTGTGAGTGAAGTGTACTTCAGGTTGGACTGGGTACCATTTCTTTACAAAAGCTTTCCAAACCCATCACTATTGTGTAGAACAAATGGTTTGAATTTACTAAGAGAATCCGCACTTAAACTGCTTAATGCGTTTAACCACGCAAATGACATATGCATCTTTTAAAACCTAGTTTGGCATAGAGACATTGATTCTAAAAAATATGAAACATTGCCAATTTAGAGGTAGATTTAATATCTGTATGTCATCATTTGATCGTCTCCCCCTTTAGACGGATTGGCCCGAGGGCTATCAACTAGCATCTGCTATGAACTTCCGCTTCCCCCAGTGTGTGCCGACCCACCTGAAGACCCTTATTCCAAATGCCAGCAACGAGGCTATTGCACTGATGAAGGACCTACTGCAGTGGGACCCCAAGAAAAGGCCCACTGCTGTACAGGTAGGCGACACCATAGTGTGAAAGCACATTCTCAGAACTCAAGACTTTTCTACCGTGTCTGTCCAATGTCTGTGTGTGAAGGCAATGGATGTCTACAACTGCTCCAATGTTTTGTTTTTTTTAACTTGTGCATCATGAAGATTGCGATGGCCCATTTCTCAGAAAAGCAGTTTCCATTACATCGCAACACTCACCCCTACGTGAAGATTATCTGTATTTCCAATACAGCGATTGCATCAGCATCCTAATCCCAGTCATTTTAAGTCGTGCCTAAGCCATACTTCATTCCCTCTGCCTCTACAACATGTTTTACCTGTGCCTGTGCAGCTCTGTGTCACGTTCACTTTATGCACAACACATGGTCATGATATCCTCAGGCATGATTTGTACTCCAGTGAGACAGTTGAATTACTCTGTGGGCCTTGAGTAAGAAACACCTTTCTGGAAAGAGTGACAATGCTTTTCCAGTATCTGCCTGCAAAGCTCCCACGTGTTTTGGTTCTCTTGGGATGCACATTTATTTCAACCCCTCCTAAGAAACGAGTTCTGATTCAGACCTAAAACAAGTCCTAACTATTGTATAGAATGAAGTCGATGCTACATATATTTAATACAAACATTGTCTGTCGAATTCGTGTGCTTGTTTGCTGATAAATTTATGAGGAAATCTTGTGCATTACACAATGATCTGATTTAACTTGTTTTTAAGTACAGGTTGCAAAGAAGTCATTGTTGGAAATCATTGTGCTAGAAAGCATTCTGAAAAACAGATCTGTGTTCATTCTTCTTTCTGGCTAGGCCCTGCGGTATCCTTACTTCCAGGTAGGTCAGGTCTTAGGGCCTCGTCCTCAAAGCCAGGAGGTGAAGAAGGTCCAGACCAGGCCGCAAGCCCAGAAACAGGCGTCTGAGTCCAAGGTTGATCCTCAGCAGTTTTCCTCTGAGTCCAAAGCCTCCACATCCTCCTCCAGAAACCATCAGCAGCATCAGCCTCTTCAGCAGATCCCCTTGCCTCAAGCTGACAGTAAACCTGGCGTGAGTGGCTTTATGAAATCAGTGCTGTATTTATATTTAGTCTTAGATTAAATAAAACAGTGAAAGGCCGAGCTAAACTAAGTTGCCAGAATAAACCAGAACTTCCAGATTAACTGTGCTCTCTTCTAAGGAGTAGAAGTTGTTGAATGATAACAGCAGCAGAGAGCAGAAGTCAACTTAGTAAGACAGACTTTATCAGTCCAAACAGTATAGTGTGGTCTTGTGCAGAAGGTGACACGGTTGGGCAGTGAGGACAATGTTGGCATGGGGGCGCTGAAGAGCGGTCGTCGTCGCTGGGGCCAGACGGTCGCCAAGACCTCGGACAGCTGGGAGGAATCCGACCCATCGGAAACTTCTGCCTCCAACTCCAAGAAACCCAGCCTGGGGAACACAGAGGAGGAGAGGAGCCTGAAGGAGCAGTGCCCACAGTAAGTGCTGTAAAGTCTCCACATGAGTCACATATGTATGTGTGCATACAATTTTTAAATGCATTACACCCACAGGAGCAGTGCTCAAATTCAAGCCTTAAGTGATGTGCTTAAAAATGGGGCGTTTAGGTGCAACAGACATTTACTAGTATGTGTCTGGATTCTGTTTTCAGACCTAAGGAGCAGAAACCTCTATATTCCTTCAGCACAGTTACCAAGCTCCCCAATAATGTTAAGGTTGGCCAAATGGACTCCAATCTCCCAGGATCTGCCGCACGACAGCACTATCTCAGCCAGTCACGATACTTGCCAGGTGAGAATAACAGGTGGTCTCATCTGTACTGTCGCAAATAGGTCTCCACAACTTAGGTAATTGAAGCTATATAAAATAGCCCTTTATATTTTTGCATCACTATCTCTCTTAAACTCCTATCAAAATGTATTTCAAAGCTCTGTTTTGCCTTGGTAAGGTAAATATTTGTGAAGTTCGGCTGCTGCTACTTGTAACCTCATAATTCCTGTTGCTTTAAGGCTTGATCGGCAAGAATCAGACTTCCTCCGGAGATAAGGATTTGGGTGGTATGACATTGAGGGATCTGTGGGAGAACTCCTCAAACACTGTAAATAAACCACTTGGTCCCATTGGAGGAGGATTAACTGTCACCAGAGCCAATGCAGGTAAGAACTGCTGATGTCTAATGCAGCGGTGTTTAGAGGTTTGGCATAGTGTACAGCGGCAGGGACTCGGGTTTCCAGATTTCCCCAACATGTTCAGGAAATTACATGTGACAAGCTGCTTGACAGCTTGTGGATCTGATGATGTAGAGAGGAATTGAGTGACGTGCACGACTGCACAAAACACACGCAGACTTGCAGCGTCAAATATTAAAGAACTTTTCTAGCAAAAAATTGTCTTTTCAGGTGTCAGCAACTGAGCTAAAACATTAGCTTTGGCAATAAAAAACACAATAAACCTGTTCGGCGAGTTGATTAAACTACAGCTACACCATAATTTGCCTCATCATGCTGTGCAGTGGAAACCTGGCCACTGTCAGTGTAACCTAGAGCTACATGATGTGACACAAAGCCTCTAAATGCTAATGAAGCAGCTAAAGTCTCCTGATCAGTAGTTAGGGAGTGCACCAACGTGTCTGCGACTTTAGAGATATGAGACATCTATAAATCATTTGTCATGTAGACAGACACACAATATGGGTCCCCACTGTGCTCCCTTCGTCTTTCTCTCTCCTCTTGTCTCTCTCTTTCACCTTGTCTCTCTCCATTGCTTATTGATGAGATTAAGACTGTCACTGTAAGATCAAGTGTTTTCTAAATCGTCAGCAGCACCCATGTGCTCATTTGTCCCAGCACATCCTTTGAAGTGTTGGTTTTAACGCGACATGAATATAAAGTCTCATTAAGATGTGAAAAGTGCTTTTTAAAAAAAAAAAAAAATCCTCTATTTCTGCTGTGTTCCTTTCCTTCATTTTACATTTCTTTCTCCTTTCTCTTTGATTGCATGCACATCTCCTCCAACTCCACTTTGTTTGCTGTGAAATTAGAAGAGAATGCCACAAAGTCTGAGGATAGCCCACCAGAGAAAACTGTTGTTAAAGAAAGAATACTAGAGAAAATTGATCTCTCCAAAGGTATTTAAGTGAGATGATTTCCCATTAACTGTTTAGCTGTATTTTACAGTTAGCAGCAATAGATGTTGTTGTAGTGCACTAAATAGCTCGAGGGTAAAATGAAATAAACCAACAACCAGCATGGTGGCTGATGCAACAAGCTTCAGGTATTCAAACAGCAATTTAACATGTGAAAGGAACTCCCTGCCTAAAGCTCTGCAGGAGACAAGAGTGCAAACACACAGTTTAGCCAGATAACTAAGAACTCCAGTTGCTAAATAGAAGGTAAACGACACCGCAACCACAACATCTTCGTAAGAGAACAATGAAGCTATTAATTGATTGTACTGATAACTGCCGGTGAAGCAGCTCAGTCGTGTCGCTTGCAGAGCTGAATGACAACAATCCTTGGCCTTATTCATCCGCCTGGGTCGTCTGAAGCTTTTGCATATGCAGCAGCTACTTTACTCAAGTAATTAGTGTCAGTGAAGCCATGTGTGTCTCTGTTTACTACACTTTCCTTCATTTGTTTGTTTTAAATATTGCATAGCTAATGTGGTGTTCTCTGGAAACTCATGCTGGTTGGGTACCTGGAGAGTGGAATAAGAAAATGCACCAAAAAATGCAAAGCCTTCAGCTCTGTGTTTCTTTTCTTAAAGGGAATTTTATAAGCACCAAGTACAACCTCTCTGGTGGTTACATCCCTTCATTCCAAAAGAAGGAGGTTGGCTCAGTGGGACAGAGAATCCAGCTTGCCCCTTTGGCTGGCCAGCACACAAGTAAGAACTTAATTCATCTACGCACAGCCAACAAAATGAGTTTTGATGCGGTTTGCCAGGCAACTTTAAACATTTCTTCTACTCAGAAAGGAAAAAACAATACTCTAACCCTGTTTATCTAATTTATCTGCTCTTTAGATCCCTTTAAGTAAATACTGTCTCTGTAGTCTGTAGCATTACTGTGCCCTTGTATGATCATCCTGCACTCTTTTATTTCTCTCTTCTGTTTCCACTGTTTCACTTAAAATATTTCCATTAAAACTTACTGGAACTGTATTTCTCCTCTCTTTTCACTCTTTCAGTCAGTCTTTCTTCTTCCTCTCCTGAAAATAAAAAAGACAAGCCAAAATCTGCAAAGCTCAAGCCCATATCCAACTCATCAATGAGTGAAACTAGTGAAGGTATTGTCTTTTTCCAAAGATTGCATTGCCCTTGCTTAAATTATTGGTATCCTATCTTTAAAAGACAAAGCTTTCTCTTTTATTGCTCTCCTTTCCCATATCCACTTGAGATGCTAATAAAGACAGACATATGGATCTTTGTATAGCTGTATATTGGAGGTAGGAAGACTAACTCACTGGCATGTTCCTCCAGACTACGAGAGCTGGAAGAGGAGGACAGACGCGACTCAGATGAAGGGAAGCAGCTACTCAGCACTGGGAAAAACCTCTGGAAACCTCCTGACCAGAGCTCCTGCTGTGCAGCCCGTCCATGGCAGGGTGGACTGGACGTCCAAGTATGGTGGAAATCGGTAATTTGGAGAAGCGGGTGCTACTACATCATCTGCTATACTTGCTGGGCTGTGTGTCCTGGTGCATCTCTGCCTCAGAGAATAGAGCCCGAGCAAAATTTTAACCACATCAAAACTCACACCTGTGGGATATCTATGAAAACTGTTTGTTTCCGAAAGATTACACAAAGACATTTTTTTTATGCACATGTAGGACTGACTGTATGTTCATGGACTCTGTGTTCTGGATGGTTGCCATGATGCTGAAACCAAGACCGGTACTGTCTGCAAGACAATGCCACTGTTTTCCTCAAGGATCCAGTGTGAGCCAATTCTACTGTTAGAGCTTGGATATTTTGAATAGGATTTAAATGTAGCGTAGCTTTTCACCTTTTTTTTTTTACTTTAGTTTTTATTGTCAAGTATTGTTACACACTATCAATGGTTCCTCCAATGCTATGTTCTATCTGCTCCAATTCATCATACTGTAGGTAACACATGAAACAATATTCACTGTATTTGCGATAAGAATGATTACAACTAACTCTGCATCTTATAAGGGAACTGCAAACCTCTTTGTATTATGCAATGAATAAACAGAACATTTTGTAATTGTTTTATATGACAAGTCTAAGGTGGACTCTTTGAAAAACAACAAGACCGCCGTTCCTGTATAAACAATATATTTCATCCTCAAATATACAATTTCTAAACAACATGGCATGATTTCCAACACTAAATGACAAATGCAGAGAGGCTCCTTTAAGAGGTCCACATGAGCGAATGTTTAACACCTTCACTTCTTCAAGCCTCTGAGGGCTTCTGGAGCAACGCCAAACTCAGCTTCCCCACCATCAGAAGACTGGAACAGGAGAATTTTTACAGAGCATTAGTTCACCTTACCTCTGTTGGCAGAATTGTTTTCTAGATTCACAAAAACTACAAATATATGTCACTGGAAGTCAAGCCAAAAAAATCCCCAGATATAAACATTACATCACTCAGGGAAATAGTAAAGTTTCTTCAGATAAGAATGATGATCTAGAATGAGTTGTTAAGGTTTACTTAATGCAAGCACCACAGCTGCTTTTATAACTTGACACTATAATCTATAGTCAAATTTTGCCATCTTGACTACACAAATACATTTAGCTTTATAATTGTCTTTCAGTAATATAAATAAGATGGATACAATACCTTGCTCCCGCCATCAAACCAGCTGGCATGAACTTCCTCGATCCATAGAACCTCTTTCCCATGACAGCAGACAGAGCTCCCGATGTAGCTGACAGATAGCATAAATGTTTGTGAAAGTTGTTGCTTTAGAGACACCTTACTAATTCAGAAACTCTTTACCGGGGTTACGCACATGAGTGACATAAGGGTGCAATCAAAATTATAGTATTAAGGGTTTATGCATAAATAAATCTTTTGGATTACTTTTGCCGGTATTGTTTGCATAGAATAATTTTTGATACCTCCAAAAGACATTTTAGTCAGTGCAAAAACGATAGAAAATGAAGTTGTTTTTTGAACCAGGTTTGGTAATTGGGGTGTCATTTCCTCATGAATAAGACATTTTTGTTTATTTAACAGAAATAACACACTGATTTCTGTCGAATATTGTATCACAGACCCATTGCCTTTACTGTACGTGGACTAATCATGTTGAATGTCATTTGCAGTCACCCTGCAAAGGCCCATTCTGACTCAAGCAAAACCATGAATAGTATGACTTGAGTGACATAAAGTGATAAAATGTGCCATGTAATTTTTCTAAGTTGCAGGATATTTTTGTATACGTGTCATATCCTAAATATTTAGACCTTATCGAATATCACTTTTTAAAAATTAGCTGGCAGTATGCAAGGATCTAGAATTGAGCACATTTCTGAAAAAAAAATCGAAGCTTGCTTCAGTAATTGTTCCTGAAATATCTTCAAGTGACTTTGCTTGGGAAGATGTCACGTATCATGAGCGCTATTCGTAAGCGCAAACATTATACCCTCCAAAAACACACAGCTTTAAGTTTTGTAATTGTCTAAATAAATAAGAAAGACTGCTTTGCAGATTAATGCAGCTCACTTAATTTCACTGCAACTGTGCACACCAAAACATTGGTAGTTTACTAACCTAGGGACACCCAAATATCATTTGGGTCATTGGAGATCTGGTAGGCACCAAAACCTGCAAGGCCCCCAAAGAGGAGACCAGCACCCAGGGAGGGAACACTGCCTGCAGGAAAAATGAAATAAAATACAGGAGGTGAACACCTGCACCTGACATCTACAAGACTTAAAGAGCAAGTGGAATATAAGGAAGACTGGTGTACTTTATGAATTATGAGGATAACTGAATGTACAGTGCAAAAAAATAAAAATAAAAAAAAGTCAATTTGCAAAGGAGTTGAATGATATTAGGACCAGCAGAGATGCAAAAGTAGAAGATTTGATGGAACTCGTACCTGCTTTCAGATATCCAATGACTCCCCCTGATGCCACCAGAGTTGCATAGCCATATCCTACCCAGTCCACGGACATGTTGGACAGCTGTTCAGTAAGACAATAACAACAACACACATTTAAAACAGTGCACAGTGACAACTCAACTCGCACGACCCCCTGCTGTGAATCTAACATTACTTACAGATGCAAAAATATTAGGACGGTCTGAGTCCTGCAACGCAGAGCTGTTGCTGAAAGCTAGCTGAATCAAGAGAATATGTAAAAACATTGCCCGCTGTCCCGCAGTAGCACTTGGCTGGTTTTGATCAGAAGTCGTTGCACACAGAGATGCATGTGTGTGTCTGGTTTACTAGATAAGATACAACTGCTACTTAGCATGAGCCGCAGTGGCATGAACTAGCATCCCTGTTACACCACACACGCTGACCGAACACGAAGACTTGCCGAATATGCTAAAGGCACTAATATTACCACTTTACAAAACCTACACAATGGTTTTAATCTGAATTTGGCTTTTGAAAGTCTTAAAATGTCAAGTATAAACCCCCAAAATGAGCTAAGATAGCAACTTACAACCTTAATCTTTCAGTTTGTCCTCTGTCACCAACAACGGCAGCCTGTTTCCCACCGAGCACAAATCACTGGTGCACACTGCACACTGAGAGGTGGCTGATGGGAAATGTAGGACTTTTGAGGGAGGCGCTTTGGTAATCAGGTAAAAATATACTTATATTTTAACCTGATTTCCGGTGCCTGAATGCAGCAGCAAATTCAAGTAGATCCTGTTAAACTCATAAACTAACTTTAATATAATAATATTGTAGAAATATGCATCCATGAGAAGCGTTTTTTTAAAAAAAGATTATATTATTTATATTTTTGTTTGGAGATTTAAAAAGATAAATGTCATTACTTATGTATATGCATTTCTTTTTGTCTGTGCAAAGAGAAAATAACATAAATAAGTTTCCAAACCGATGTGCAGTGTAATGCTTTTTTTAGGACTTTGTTTTTAATATAGTAGCCTATTTTTGTAGTGTAAGAAAGACACAAACAGTGATGCTGAGGCCAATTTACACAAAATAAAAATGATCATATTATCTAATCTGGTAACTTCAGAGTCACTTTAACAGCCATAACTGTAAAAGGTAATTTGGCCTGTTTGTTATGCTAACATGTTGTTCCATGTCAATATGACAAAACATTCCTCCTACGTCTCCCCCGCTGGTCTCAGCGTCCAGCTGTCCGCCCCTCACGCCAGCCTCATCCACCTCGACAGCACGAGCCGGATTTTACCCCGTCACGAGCACCTACACGAGAGAACCCCACACGAGCACCGACACGGGAAAATCACCGTCCTGTTCAAATATGGCCTGGTGTCCAATGCAAATGCCGTTGTTGAAGATGCTGTCCCCTGACAGCATTTTCAGTGTTATCGTGACAACCAGGTGAGCACATGTGAAGCCACTTCTCTTCAGTACTGGTCACATTAACAATTGCTGTTTTCAAGTACATTGTATGCAGGATGTTAAGTCATAACTGTTGGCAAGACATGTACCAGTAAATGTGACAGTGATTTCATGTTAGTTGGTTGTTGTCATGTATCTTTAAAAAACTAACTTGCCATAGTTATCTGTAGGTTACTGTAACATTTATTGAATTAAATCAGTTTTAATTTATATTTTTAATTAGGTTTTGCTAAACAGTTTTGAATGATAAGGTAAAATAGCCAACCTGATTTGATAGTTTAGCTAGAAATGGAGTTGAGTAAATGTACAAACTTAAATTGGATGTACTAAGACAATCTTAACACAACATACCACATGAGTTATGTTGAAATTGTTATTTAAGTTCAAAATATGTATGAACTTAATTCAAATAAACAGACCTGTTTCATTAACCTGAAATAGATTTACAAGTTCAAACAACCACCGTAAAGAGGTCAATGAACACAAAGGTTTAGAAAAGGGATATTTAATCAAGATAACATGAAGGTACATTAGAAGAACAAAATGTATTTTTTCACTCGACTGACTGATTTTAAGGCAGCCCTTTCACTCATATTTAAGTTGAAACAACATGTTACAATTCACAATGATTTGTTTTAAGAAAAACATGTTTTAACTTTCTGAATTATGAGAATACTGAATGTACATGAACTTCAGGAGTGGGTGGAGTGAAGGGGATCATTGTTATGGTAACTAGCAGATATGCAGATGAACTCATACCTGCTTTCACATATCCAATGACTCCCCCTTCCCAGTCCACGGACGTGTTGAACAGCTGTTCAGTAAGACAACAATACACATTTAAAACAGTGCACACTGACAACTCAACTCACAAGACCCCCTGTTGTAAATAGAATAGAATGGAATTTTTTTTTTTTTATTGATCCCCCATTGAGGGAAATTTACATGCCACAGCAGCATCAAAAGATATAGAAAATAAGTACTAGGAAATAATAATTAAGCAATAAAAGATGTATAAACACAAGATGACAAAAATGTGAGAAAAAATATATACAATATTTAGACTGAAAAAGAAACATGCTTGTAAAAATTTGCTGTGCAAAAGTGAATTATGATCATGTGTTAATTTTGTCCGTTTGGTTAACATCAGCCAGTGATACTGATGTTGTACAGCCTTATTGCGGTTGGGAGGAATCCTCCTTCTTGCAGGGTGGCTGTCTCAGTCTGCTGCTGAAGGAACTATTTAAAGCCCCCACAGTCTCATGCAGCGGGTGAGAGGGGTTGTCCATGATGGATGTGAGCTTTGCTAACATCCTCCTCTCACCCACCTCCTCTATGGGGTTCAGGGAGCAGTCCAGGACAGAACCGGCCCTCCTGACCAGTCTGTTCAGTCTCTTTCTGTCCCTGTCTGTGCTCCCTCCTCCCCAGCAGACCACTGCATAGAAGAAAGCAGACACCAGCACAGTGTCATAAAATGTCCGGAGCAGAGTACTGTACACTCCAAAGGACCTCAATCTCCTCAGCAGGTGGAGAGGACTTTGTCCCTTCTTGTACAGAACATCTGTGTTGTTGGACCAGTCCAGTTTATTGTTGAGGCGAACACCCAGGTATCTATAGGTCTCAACCAGCTCAATGTCCAGGCCCTGGATGTTCACCTGTACAGTCTGGGGTGTCTTCCTCCTACAGAAGGTCAATGTCCATCTCCTTCGTCTTACTGACGTTGAGCTGGAGATAGTTCTGCTCACACCAGTTGACAAAGTCAGTGATGACAGTCCTGTACTCCCAATCGTCCCCCTCAGATACACACCCGACAATGGCTGTATCGTCGGAGAACTTCTGGAAGTGACAGCTCCCAGAGTTGCAATGGTTGTCCGCAGTGTACAGGGTCAAGGGGGAGAGCACTGTCCCCTGTGGGGCCCCGGTGCTGCAGACTACAGGGGCCCCAATCTAACTTTACTTAAAAATATTAAAAGTATAAACTAAATAATAAACCTACATAATGGTTTTAATCTGAATTTGGCTTGTAAAGGTCTTGAAATGTCAAGTATAAACCCCCAAATTGGGCTAAAATAGCAATTTACAACCTTAATCTTTCAGTTTGTCCTCTGTCACCAACAACGGCAGACTGTTTCCCACCGAGCACAAACTCCTGGTGCACACGGCACACGGAGGGGTGGCTGATGGGAAATGTAGGACTTTGGATTGAGGCGCAGCGGTAATGACGTAAACTGTACTATGTTGTATATTTGTGCTACTGGTATGGGCGTTTGTAACTACATAGTACGTCAACTGAACTAAAATTACTACGGTCCCTGAATGCAGCAGAAAATTCAAGTCGATTCTGTTAAACTCATAAATTAACTTTAATATGATATTGTAGAAGTATTGTATCCATGGGGAGCAGTTATTTCTACATTATATCATTTATATGATCGTTTAGAGGCTTAAAAAGATAAATGTCACTACTTATGTTTATTTTGTTTGTTTTTTTTTGTCTGTACAAACAGAAAATGACGTGCAGTGCAATGCTTTCTGAGGACTTTGTTGTTTGATATCCTAACAATATAGTAGTCTATTTTTATAGTGTACGAAAGGTACAAACGGTAATGCTCAATTTACGCAAAAACAAACAAACAAACAAACAAAAACCAGGTATATTGTCTTATCTGCTAACTCCAGAGTCACTGTGACATCAAACTGAAGGCGTCACAGGCCTCTAGCTCCATCTCAAGGACCCTTGATCCTCAGACACCAGTCCAGTCTGGTTGTATTTGGACGACCACAAGATGGCACCACAGGATTAGATTATGCTGTGTGTTAAGGCATGTCCCTACATTCGCAAGTTTAAGGTACCTAGACATTTTTTTTCAGAGTTTTTTCTCAATATACTTTGACCTGCATGCTGAAGAAACAAAGTACGATAAAAACACAACCTCTCGTTAATTACACCGGAATGTCTCTAAGTATCAATTCAGTGATATCTACGAAAATGGGCACGCTCAGTCTTGAAAGTTTGATTAAAGTTTATGAAGAAGGACAGGTGGAGTAAAAATAAACAAGAGCGCTTATTCATGCGCTATAAATGGCGCACATTCAAGTATTTGGCTTAGTGATTAAAATTTGTAACATTTGCCAGAATTTGAACATTCACTTCACTTAAACTACACGTGCCTTTTGGCCACCTGCTTTTCTTTTTCTTATGACTGGCATCGGCTTGGCAGTTTCACTTACTGGAACGCTCCCTGCGCGCACATTCTCATTTGGTTTCAATTACCTGCAGTGTTGTTTTAAATCCACTGGCTCTCTTCTCCCGAAGCGAGGTGGCGCTAGAACACAAGTTATCCTCCTTGGAGATCGGCGTTTCTTTTTTTTTTCTTTCTTTTTTGTACAACGGGCCCTTTTCTCACTCAACTATCGCCATTTATTTATTTATTTATTTATTTATTTTACCCCCCAAATGTCACCAAAGGAACGTGGTGGCTTTTGTACCTTGAGAGCTGGTGATAAGACACTGGTGCGTAAAACAGGGCTGTTGCCAAAAATCTTTGGTGCGAACTGAACTGAAATCTGAGATGATTTCACCACCTCCTTCACTGATGAGGAATTACCTATAATTGATGTTCAGTATTTAAAAAGGGAGAAGCTTGTCATCTGACTGTGTCTCCGCAAGTTTTATTTTTTTAAACGAGACACTAACCAATCACACGGATGCACCCAAACAACACACATCATTAATGGCTACAATTTATAGCACACTAATAACAATAATAATAGCAATAATAATTATAATAATTTGTTTAAATTTGATTGGCTGTGCAAAGTGCCCGAGGAGCAGCCGTTGCCGACGTCTATTAAACACAGCTCGCGGTTTTAGAACTTTGCCGGAGGCCCGGTGCTCTGGTGGAAGTGGTTGAAACCAAGCCCTAGACAAACAGGCTGGATATTCAAAAGGGACCCCGCTCCAGTCTGAGAGTTCTCTACTCTCCGCTCAGACAGCTCTGCTTTAAAAACTTACTCCTCCCTTGCGCAGAGCCCCAAACAATATTTCTGATCCCCCTCCACCACCAGCAGCACCAGCAGCACCTCCCTTTCCTTTGTCCAGGCCCTGGTAAGGTCTATATAGCTGCAGGTATTGTGTGTGCAGTTAAAATGTGTTCGCCTTTGAAGTCAAACATGAAGGCTCGTTTTAAATATTAACAGCACAAAAAATCTATACACCCCGTGTGGAATTATGCAATTGGAGAAAAAAAATCTATTACTGGGGAAAAGCAAAAAAAAAAAAAAAAAAAGAAGAGTATTTTTTCCGTTAAAAGTTTGCCCAATATTGACAGTGCAGGCACTAAATATGTTTAATTTATGTGTGATGTAGTGACAGAAGCTTCGGCGCTGCTGTGTGCCAGCGACGCGCACCGACAACCCCGTGCGTCCCGTTTGCAACCAGACTGCAGTCAGTAACTTCAATGAGGAGGAGAGAGAAGGAAGAGAAAAAGGAAACGGGTTTTGGACTAAAGCTTTGACCATTATCACCTATGTGAGCGCACGTGTTGCTCTTCTCTATGTGTGTGTGTCTGAGAGAGAGAGAGCTCATTCGCTCTTGGCCCGAGGGGTCTACATAAGTATGTATTAGAAATAAACAGTGGATAAATAAATAATGACCCCCCTCACAATAGCGGGGTAGCTTTCTGTGCAGAAGTAATGATGTTGGCAGTTAACCTTCAAGTTTTTTTTAACTTGACACAGTTTCATTTGCACTGAGAATTCATGTTTGCTACCAAGACAAATCAAGAGAAGGAAAAAAAAAACAATGGAAAGGTTAATTGACTCCTGGAATACGTCCTTTTTTAGCTTTGTGTCTGTTTAGGACAAATATATATATATATATTTTTAACATAGACTTATTTTGCTCCATGTTCGAATGCCAGTTATTCTTTATTAACTGATTACGACCAGTTAATTAAGGAATGCGTAAAAGCTCACCACAGGTTACCTCGCCATTCATGTGTACAATAAATTAAATTCATCTTCATTATTAGAATTTACTTCTTAATTTATGTGGGAAAACCTGAAATAGACACATTCATGTAAGTGCATTTGATGATATATTTTTTATTTACAACATTTGTAGCTGTCACTTTTCTTCAATATGATTTCGTGCGTTATTAAACATTATTGTTTGCAAAGCTCATTTATATGTGAACAAAAATCAAAGGATGACAGCTCAAACCTAACCAACACAACTCGCCTGTTTCACTTTTTTTTTTTTTTTTTCCCCCCTCAGGTACTTCATGGTTTCCTCGTCCACACCCGGAGCAGTGCGCATGCGTCACCAGGTGGCCCCGCACCGTTTTTTTTATGGCCAGGTGAGGCGATCCGGTCCAGGTAAAAAAGCAAAAGGTTTACTTTGGGACCGGAGGCTCAATGAGATAGACACCGCCGGACTCGGAACAGCCACCCCCCCAAAAAAAGCAAACCACCAAAGGCAGCAGAGGACAAAGAATGTCAATTATGGGCAAAATGGGGGAATGGCAGGTATGTGCTGCTTACTTTAAGACAAAGAAACTGCTCCGAAAAATCCACGAAGACTGTCAAAGTGTCGACTTGTTGTAGGATGAGGCTGCATGAGGACTGTAGAATCTTTCGTGGGGAAAAACGCAGAGTTCTCTTAAACTAGAAGCTTATAGATTTTGTCAGACAGGAGATCAGATATTTTAGTTTTATTTTTTTCTGCGATGAGGAAATCTTTGCGTGTCAGGGTGTTCATCTCTTTTTTTTTGATCGTACGCTGTAGGCTGTGAGGACTCCGTGTGTATTTCAGAGACAGTGTAGATTTGCTTTTTTTTATGATCACGGATTAAAAATGTGTGGAAACAGTCATGAGACAGTTTGGGTTTGTCCAAAGTGGAAAAAACGCAGCCCTTGTTTTTCTAAATCGTGTCGTCGCACGTTTGAAGTCAATAAAATAACTTTTCATAAATGTACTGAACCATAGATTATCCAAATTGCATAAGTTACAAAGCATCCCATAATTGACTTCCCCTAGAGAGTCTTATCTTACACGTTGTCTTGGCTAAACTGGAAATCTGGCCTTTGCTTTTGGAGGTGTTTGGAGGTGAAGGGGAATTTAAGAGACGACCAGAAACAAAAAAATACTGCAGTTAAAAACCGATCAGTGCGACAGACAACCAGGCCAGATCTGTGGAAATACGCTCTCTCTCTCTCTCGCATGCATTTGCTGTCATTGTCAGCCACTTTTATCGCTCCACATTCATTAATAACAACTGCTCGTAGAAAGGCACTCCACCAAAAATGGTAATCCAAGGTTTTAAGTAAGAAGGGGGCCAACGCCTTAAAGGGCTGGCGACCTGTCTGCTGACCCACGACCTGCTGAGGTGAAGGCTCGACCGGCGACAGGGCCGAGCCAGGCTCCCCCTAGCCGCTCATTCAAATGAAACAAGGCCATGTTGTTGTGTTAATTATTTACATTCTCCTCCTCCTCTTCTTCTTCTTCTCCTTCTTCAAAAAAAAACCTGCGTCCTTACAGGTAGTCAATGGACCTGTAGAGCCGTTTTGGAAAAGCTCACCTTTTTAACATAACATTGAAAGAATAGCCTCTCAAGGTCTCCACTCTCAATGGGATTAAGAAAACACTTTGGGAGTTTAAAACATAAAATCAAGGTGGGAAGCAAAGTGTGTGACAGGCTACTATTTGCATAGGCACCCTCAGATCCTGCAGAACTGATCAATAAGGCGATACAGAAGTGAGTGCAGTTTAGCCACAAAAGATAGCAAAAAAAATAAAGTAATGCCATTTTTTTGTATCATATATTTTAAAAATATAGTTATGGTTTCTGATGTTTCTCTCTACAAGTAAAATTATAGTAAAAAAGCGTCCCAGGTGCATGCAGGTCCCCATGCATGACTATATACCCCCCCCCCCCCCCCCCCCCCCCCCCCCCCACACACACACACACACACACACCTCGCTGAACAGTGGAAATAATAAGCATGTGTAGCGTCTTGCCGCTTTAGTTTTTACCTGTGCGCTGTCCATTGGTGTTGTGTGAGCAGATGGGGGGAATCAAACGGCTGTTGATATGCTAATGAGGCCCTGTGCCAGTGTTATTACAGAGCTGCTCCAGCCCTTCACTTCCACCATTAGAGGGAGACCTCAGAGCGCAAGACAGACAGCAGCCCACAGCTTCAATAAAAGTAGTTTTTCTGAGCGGGGAGCACAATTCACTGAGTGAAAACAAGGCTAAGGCGATACCTATACTCAATATCCACTTCAGCAACCCATGAAAATGCTTTGGAAATTAACTGATAACATTAAATATGAAGACTGCGAGGTAAGAGGCTCGTTTTTTTTTTTTTTTTTTAAATTTGCTTAATTATTGTTATTTTATTTTATTTTTGTCAGATTTAATAAGTTAAAAGAAACATATGTGAGGGATGTGTTGTACTGTTTTGATCCAGATATGACATACTTTTGACAGCTGAACACATTTAACTGCAGGATGAATTGGCTTTTGATAATTCCTGGTATTGGCACGTGTATTAATTTGTAATAATAATAATAGTAATAGTAATAATAATAATAATGATAACTCATTGTGGCAGTTGAAGCTATATTTATTAAAGCCTCTTAGCTTCATGAATAAAATTACACCAGTGATCTATTTTTCCCTTTCTTAAATTCATATTTAAAATATGTCCAAATAATAAGTGACACTTGGGAACATTAAAATAATAATATGCATTTAACACGCATTTAATTAAAATCAATATTTTGACCAAATGGTGGATGTGAGCGCAAACACAGCTGCTTTATTTAGTGATTAAATGACATGCACATGTACTCTTCAGTTTAAAAAAAAATAATACAAATCTTTGCAATATGAGCCGTTAAATTTTGCTGTGCATGTGTGTGTGAGTGTGTGTGTGTGTGAAGTGCATACACTGAGTGATTGTTGTTATGGACAAAGTTTGGCAGTATTATCGGTGGCTTGTTCAGGAGTGGAGAAGCCAGTCGGACGTGTTTTTAACCGCGTCCTGCGAGGATAGGGACGGACGGGAGCAGGAAAACCAAAACTGCACCTCCGCGTTGGTGTCATGTTGATTCTTTTAATTTGCAGGCAAATGTTTTTTTGTGTGTGTTTTTCCCCCCCCCAGTTGGTATCGATGCAAAGAATAAAAATTTGCATTCGAAGTCCGGTCAAGGCCCAGCGTTTCGTAATTTTTTTTTTTTTTTTTTTTAAATGCATGATTAAGCAGGAAGGGGAGTGGAGCTTGTTTTGAGCCGCGCGTAAAAGTTAGTTCAGAGCGCCGGATCCAGCGGCCCTATATCTTAGACTGTGGGAATTTATTTTTTCCCTCCCTCATCTTTTAAAGTTTAAGTTAGCCGGCGTAGCTGTAGGTTTGGAGTCGAGGAGGAATCGGTGGATTAATTCGTCGAGGAGAGAGGAGCGAGAGAGAGGAGACCCATGGAGGACAGCTCGCTGTCGGAGTCTGAGGTGGAAAACAAAGGGACAAGCGGTAGAAATGAGCCGGTCGGAATGCCCATAGCGTCGTCTGGTGGATTTTCACCCAGTTCAGAGGTGCACATTGTTTCCTTCCCTGGCTTCTTCATCCGCTGTCTGCGGTCCACCTCCCTTCATTCCTATGTCTTTCTTTCACTTTTGCGCTTTGGCCCTGGGACGCTTTTAAAATGCCCCCCCTCCTCCCTCTCTCTCTGATTCGTCAGACGAGAGTGAATGTCCCTCTTTTTGTCTCTCTCTCTCTCCACTCCCTCCACACTCTCTCACTCCCTCTCTCACTCCCCCTTCTCTCTCTCTCTCTCTCTCTCTCTCTCCATCTCTGATTAGATATACTGATTCCTCCTTTCAATGGACGTCATTTAAGCGCAGACTCCTGCCTTGAGTTGCGTCCTCCGCTTTACGCCAGATTTCCGACTATTCTTTCCTTATTATTAAGTATTCCTGTAATATTAATAGTCATGAATGCGCTCTATTAGGAGTCCAACAGGGAGACGAAGAAGCGGCTCTTTTTGCTAATATGAGCTCAAGCGAAGGGACGGTAGCACTGTGATAGAAGCCCGGAGAGCAGGGAGAAAGAGGGGTTTTACCGAGAGAAACTTTCCAGCCCTGATCCGCCAGCACCGCCGAATATCTGCCTTTTTTTTTTTAGACCCAAATGAAGCGCAGCCGGGATCTAACCGTTTATTTCTGATGGATTATCGTCCTGCTGTTGAGGCACATATCTGATCGCCGGGGCCATCGTGATCTTCCAGGAGAGAAGACTCTTTTTTTCGGGGGGCCTGTTATATTTTTTTGTTTGTTTTTTTTTGCTGGTTAATTCCTCTTTTCGTTGCTCGTCCTCCCCCCTTTCCCCCCAAAACACTCACCGTGTTTTTGAACTGAATATCATTTCTCTTGATTCTCACCAAAAAAAACAAAAAAATCCTTCCAGATGTTAGTGCACAGTTTTTCCGCGATGGTAAGTTGCTGGAGTCTCACCGTGTCAGATACTTTTTTTTCTTTTGCTTGTTTGCATAACAGATTTTTTTTCCTTCTCCTTCTTTTTCGCTAATTTTGCGGAGCTTGCATGCGTTAAATCCGTGGGGCAAAAAAAAAAGTCAAAAACGACGGTTATTTGTTTGAAGGATGTAGAATTTGTATGTTTTATTTATTTTTTGACTCATGCTAATTTATTATTGGGTTGGTTTATTTTTAAAAACTTTGTGGACACGTGGTTGGTGTTTTGGAACCGTGTGTTTGTTGTTTAAAATCCATTTTCACATTTAAGGGTAACATTTCTGCACAGATGCCACACTTGGTGCGATTCCTGTCATCCACTAAGGCCATATTTGATAACGCCTCAGTTTACGCACGCAGAACGTTCAGCAGATTTAAAAAAAATAAAAAAGACAATTCCATTTATTTTCTCACGACTGTGTTCGTTTGAAATGTCTTTAGGCTTAAACATGCTTGTCTGTGTGTCCTTCCCTGCCAGGATCGTCACGACGGCACCAGCAATGGGACAGCCAGGCTACCTCAGCTGGGCGGCGTGGGCCAGAGTCCCTACACGAGCGCGCCTCCGCTCTCCCACACGCCGAACTCGGACTTCCAGCCCCCGTACTTCCCCCCGCCCTACCAGCCCATCTACCCGCAGTCTCAGGACCCTTACTCGCACGTCAACGACCCGTACTCCCTCAACTCCCTGCACGCCCAGCCGCAGCCGCAGCACCCGGGCTGGCCGGGCCAGAGGCAGGGTCAGGAGAGCGGCCTGCTGCACCAGCACCGCAGCCTGCCCCACCAGTTGTGCCGGGAGTATCGCAGGGAAGTGCTCCTACCGTCCGGCCACGGCATCGATACGGGACTGTCGGACTCTATCCCTATCCATGGAATACCTCACTCTTTAGAAGACGTTCAGGTGAGGCAGCGTTTACCTGGCTTTCTCTCTCTCTTTTTTTTCTTTCTTGGGATTTCTTGCTTAACAATAAAAGATTATTGCCTTTAAAAATACAAACTAAAAATGAAAAAAGCCTGGTGCCAGTGCTGTTTGAAAATTAACACGATCATTCTTTATAATGAGGGTGATGTTATTTTTATTTTTTATATTTAATATTAATTGCAATTTGCTCAATCAATCTAATTACTATTTCTATTATTATTAGCAGCGTATTAGTGCACGTGTTTTTGTTATTAATATTATTTGATTAAGGTGTGAAGGATGACACGCATTGAATTAGGTTGTAGCTCCTAAAATATTCCTGTTTAAAACATTAAAAAAAGCATGAATAATATTTCTTTATTGTCACGATTAGCGTCAGATTTTATTTATTTTATGAAACATATTTTTAAAACTGATGTTTTATTAATGCCGCTGGTCTCCAAATTCGATGTACTTTTATTCAATATCATAAATGAATTAACGAGATAAAAAAAAAACTGTACGACCGTATTTCCACGCGTATCATCTTCATGTCTGATGACTTTTATTTGATTTCTCTGTTTAAAAAAAAAAAAAGAAGAATCAAGCTCACGGTTCTGTGCGAACAATAACATCCTAATACACTGCATGCACGATAACAGGAGAATTGAGTTTGGTGTATTGAGTTTAGGTGGCTGCACGATTACTAAAGATGCATGATGAATGAGCTCCAAAACTGTCAATAACCCCGTCATTCTTATTGGGAGCATTCTTCCCATTTTTTTTTTTTCATCAGAAACAAACACCAATAATCCTCTAATTAGTTCATAGGCCTTTAATAGGCTGCGCTGCCGTAATTACTATCCAATCTAGATTAGAAGTTTCCTTGTGAGTAGAGCCAATCTGAGGGCGAAATTGGGTCAGGATTATGGGGCGACACAGCTTCGTTATTTAAGTCTGAGTTGGTGATCTAATGCAACGCGTCCATCAGTGCAACTCGCTGAAAACACACGCATGGACAATAATAACAGGTATGGGCCTCGAGAGCCTCCATGTTGGGCGATTGTGGCTGCTAATTGTGCCAGGCTTTGTTCGTGCACAGCATCCTGATGTACTTTCACAGGACTGAGGCTGACATTTTGATGCCTTTTTCTTTCCCTTTTCGCTAATTTTTTTTTGTTGTTGTTTGCGTTTGTGTCATAGCCTGTTGAGGATCAAGGAATTCACATTCCCGACCAGACTGTAATTAAAAAAGGTAAGCAATTTCCTCCGAGATATCATGCATGTTTCTTCACTAGGCTGCACACACACGCACACACACACCAGTCACCATTCTGCTCGAGAGAACTCGATGCAATGCGGTAATGCCTGACTGATCCTAATACGCAGTAGCCTATTTTTCATTACATGGTTTCCAAGTGCATCAAACTGGCTGCACCTTTTTTTTTCTCCCTCTCTCTCTCTCTCTCTCCCTCGCTGATGGAATTTACTGTCAGCGTTTCAGCGCAGCGGGGAGATGAGTGGAGCTGCTGGGGCTTTGTAGGGCCCGGTGCTATTGATGGTCAAAGATGCAGGGCCTTATAGACGATCACTTCAGTGGTGGAGGCTGCAATTTACGCAGCGTGGTCAGATCTAAAATGGAAGTTGGTGCTGCTGGATGTGAGCACAGGCCTGCAGTGTGTGCAGCCAGATAATCTGTCATTTAGGGAAGGAATCAAAAGTTCGCTTGGAGAAGAAGAAGAAGAAAAAAAATCACTGAGTGCTTTTTAGGATCGCGAAATGTAATTTTCAGATTTACTTTGGTGACGCTTGTTAGATAAGACCTCCTTCGTTATTTAAAAAAATTCTATATGCTGTCAAACAATTCCCACTGTTTATGAAACAACATGAGAAGGCCTTTTTCATGGCCACGTTTAAACACGTTTTGTCAGGTCAAATTAGAACTCGCCAGATAAGATACGGAGGGATGTTTCTTCCTTCCTTTCTTTCTTTTTATGTCTTTAGTCCTGACTTTTTTCCCCCCATCTCTTTTTTTGAGTCTGTCTATCTGCACATCAACATGATAATTGGCTTCTTATATTAGTAATCTCAAGAGTTCGTTTAACTCCTATTGTCTCTATTAGGCTCCCTTGAGCCATTAATGTCACAAGTGATCTATCCAAAGGCGCACAGTCCCCTTTGTCTCCGGTTACTGCACACCAAAACGGTGTAAAGCCCAGCAGTGCTGAGGGCCCCCCACCCTCCTCCAGCTCCCCCCATCACACACACACACACACACCCGGTGTGAAATCACACACGGGCGACGGTGTTTTGCTGGATACCGAGGATATGTCAAAATGGGTAGACTTTACCAAAAAAAAATCTCTCGGCTGGTGTGGTTTGCTTTGTGCAGAGTCGATCCAGGGAGGGGGAAAAAATGCGCAAAAGATCCGCTGTTTGGGCGCTGTTGGTTCTCATTGTCTGCTGCGGAGATAGGATAGAAATATTGAGTACAGAACAAATGAATGGAACAGATCCTTGGATTTTGCACGTGTAGTTAACGAGAATTATGCCACCTAGTACTGATGTTAATGAGACCACATAAGAACATTATTATT